CGAATATTTTTATATAAAATGTCAGGGGATGGGAACTCGGGCTATAGACATGATTTTTAATCCATTTTAAATACTTAAAGTTTTAAAAATAGAATAAAATCTCGTAGACAAAAGAATTGCACACCAAGTGAACGCTAAATAAAAAAGAGCATAATAGTGCGCAATATTATTAGTACTTTAAAAATTTACATTAGCTTTTTGAGAAATCGGAAGTAGCGTAAATTAGTACTTACGGTCAACGGAAATTACTCAAAATTTAACAGAAGGTAGAGAATTAGATCTGTTACTTACCTGTGAAATTTCGTTTGTCTATCTGAAATAGTACTTAAGTTATAGGCTTTTGAAAATTTCAAAGTAGGAAAAGTACCACTTCCGGTTATCGGAAATCGCTCAAAAGTTGATACGGATCTACGATTTTGATAAAATACTTACATATGAAATTTCATCAACCTAGCTGTAACGGTACTCAAGTTATCGTGTTTACACACACACAGACAGACAGACAGACACACACACAGACACACAGACATTGCAAAATTATGTTTTTCCGTATCAGTCAGATGTAAAACGTCGAGATTTGTAAAAATCTCGATTTTTTTTTTTTGCACGATTACAATACTTTCTCTATACTTCGTATATACGAGAAAGTAAAAAAGATTGTTTACGATTTTAAATAACTAAACATTAACGGAAGTAACTTTTCTATTACTTTTGTTACCGATTTAATTCTAAAAAATGACATTTGGTTTGACAAATACAAGAACGAGAAGTTAGTAACCTACTGTATATATATATATATATATATATATATATATATATATATATATATATATATATATATATATATTTTTTTTTTTTTTTTTTTTATTTCTTTTTTTTTTTCTAGTTTTTTTTTTTTTTAGTTCCGCCACTGACACTTACAAAGCTTAACTTAAATGTCGTCACTTGCAGATTTCCTGTACAGGATAACGGAGCTTGTCATTGTTATCTCCCCTATCAACGCCTCTGTCCTTGTACTCATTTACCTCTATGCTGTAAACAGAAAGCGACGGTTAAAAACACATTTTTGTGGGCGGTTTTTAATAGGTGAGATGACGTCATCATTTCTTGAGTAGAATATTAGTTTGCATTGGTAACAATTTTTTTTTAATGTTGCATATAGCATACACCACTCTTTCTACTTTTTACATATTTTTTTTCAATCTTTATTTTTCAGAAGCACCGACTCAAAGTGTTTGAAACTAACTCCGCATTCATTTCGTCGTTAAAAGAACTAGTGACTAAATATCAAGCACAATAAAAGCCAGTTATGTGTACTTACAACGTCCTAGCCACGTGCGAAAATGAACGTCAAAAGCGAAAAGTCATTAGTATAGTCAAAGGGAGTTAACCCAATAAATACAAATAAATATTACGATAGTGAGTTACTGGACCTGACAGTGTGAAAAGAAAGAAGAGTTGGCCTATGGTCAAAGGGAGTTAACCCAATAAATACAACACATATGATATTATGAGTTACTGGACCTGACCGTGTGAAAAGAAAGAAGAGTTGGCCTACGAGACGATAGAGGATGCACCTTTTTACCTCGTCATGTTCGATATTTTTTGGTCAAACTGTCGGCGATTTCCCGCTGTTTATCATTTTATGCGTGACACGATATAAAATGCAATCAAGAAAAATTCTGTATAAATTATTTTTTTCTGTACTGATCTCACACCGTTGAACATATTGCTAAATTATAAAAAGACAAAATTGTATTTATCATTAACTAAATAAAACAATATTTACATTTTTAAAAATTATCATTTATTTTCTTAATCAAATGTTTTAGGTTTAAAAAATCCCGTTGTATACCAATAACTCGAGCTTGATATAAATCAACTATGAAAGAAAAATATGCATGTTAGAAAGGTAGAACTATTCATGATCATATAGATATTTTGGGCAGGTAATGAAGTTTATATATATATATATATATATATATATATATATATATATATATATATATATATATATATATATATATATATATATATATATTGCACCCACCCCCCCCCCCCCCACCGAACATTTAAAGGTGCTTCCAATAAGATTTAAAGTGCCCCCTTCTCACTGAGATAAATGTCTGAAAGAAACACTGCAGTAAAATGGAAAAAAAAATATTATTCACTACAATTACAATACAATCTTCACTTTTAAAAACATTAAAATGCCTTTTTTTAAGCCACTCGACTTATATCAAAAGGGGTCGCCTCAAGAAAATGTTTGGAAACCTGTGATCTACACATTGGACTATTCGTTTGTACACACGACTGTATAGGGCCTATACACCTAAGTACTTTCAATATGAAGGGAGTTTTTATAGTTTTAAAAGTTTTATGTCATCCCGGTGATTGTTGCAATATATCAGTGCATCTTTTGGTGAGTGTTGAGGTTTGAGTGTTTTGTATAAGATTTGTATTTGAAGGTTATCACTTTTCTAAAAAAATGTGTTACACATTTTGATTTATTAATTAGATCATTTTAGTGTATACCTGTATACATGTTTTAGTCGACTAGTTTGGTCTGTATGGTTTTATAATCTAACATTTAATAAAAAATGTTCAGTCTCTTAGAATACACATTTCGAAATATCAGTGAAACAGGAAATTCGGATATTTGTTTGGATACTTCTGTTTACAATATCGATTTCATCGTTTGATGATAATGTATTTAATAACTGCCATTAAAAAGGCTCCAATTGCGGTATGTACTTAAAAATCACTTAAACACTTAAATGTGTTTTGTTATTTAAAACATTAATAAAAGTCTAACCACCGGAACATAATTCAACAACTTATACCCGGATTTCTGGTGTTTGGCTTCAATTTCAGTGTGTGTGTGTGTGTATTTGTGTGTGTATGTGTGTGTGTTTGTGTGTGCGTATGTGAGTGTGTGTATATGTGTGTGCTTTGAATTACCAAGTATTGTCAGCGTTGTGAAATATGCAAGTCGAGTTGTTTACTCTATTCCTCTATTGCCAAGTGTCCGTCCGTCATGTGTCCGCCACATACAGAGCCTCAGAAACCATATGAGCTTTATATATTAGATATTTGTTTTTTAAGAAATCGGAAATAGCGTAGAGTACTACTTCCGGTCAATGGAAATTACTCAAAACTTGACAGAAGGCAGAGAATTAGATCTTTTACTTATAAGTGACATTTCGTTTAACTGTCTGAAATAGTACTCAAGTAATATGCTTTTGGAAAACCAAAAGTAGAATAAGTTCCACTTCCGGTTACCGGAAATCGCTGAAAGTTTGATACACAACTACAAATTTGATATAATACTTATATGAAATTTATTCGGCCTAGCTGTAACGGTACTCAAGTTATTGTGTTCACAGACATACACACACACATACACTGATAAATACACACACAGACATACGGACGAAATTGCAAAACTATGTTTTTTTCCAACTCAGAGAGGTGTAAAACGTCGAGATTTTTCTAAATCTGGATTTCAATTTTTAGCACGATTAAAATACATCCTTAATACTTCGTATACGCGAGAAAGTAAAAAATCAACAGTACGGTCAAAGGGAGTTAACCCAATAAATACAAATAAATATTATCAGTTATCGGACATGACGATGTAAAACAAAGGTCTAACATGACAGCAGTGGATGCAGCTTTTTAACTTGCCATATTTGATCTTTTTCGTTCACACTTTCAGGCGTTTTTCCACCATTCGTCATGTTATGCGTGACACGATATAATATGTGATCGAGAAAAATTCTGTACACATTATTTTTTTCTGTACTGATCTCACAGCGTTGAACATTTTACTAAATTATCTAAAGACAAAATTGTATTTAAAATTACTTAAATAAAACATTATATTTAAACATTTGCTACTTTTAGGTTTGAAAAGTTCGATTATTTAGAATATAAATCAATAACTCAAGCTAGATATAAATTAACTAAAAAATAACAATATACATGTAAAAAAGGCAGAACAATTCATGATTTTCTAGATATTGTCGGCAGGTAATGAAGTTTATATAAATATGTATATATATATATATATATATATATATATATATATATATATATGAAAAATATATATGTACGTATGTGTAATTACTCAAATTTAGCGACTTGTTCCAACACTTGGGTAAGGTGTAGACATGCTTGTGCCCGACTCTCAACAAAGAGCTACTCGTAAAGCTTTAACTACGCCAGGCCTCATATCGATAGCACTAGGAGTATCGATTGATAGTTCAATAGGTTTTATGCCCACAGGTGGTGAAACCATCGCTCACCATGTCCGTGTTGGCCTTGGTCGTTTAGTGAGTGGATTATTTCCTACATAGCCGCAAATTATAGTAAGAGCAATATAATGAATAGCATCATCATAAATACAGTCAAGTTATGAGAACGATCGGGATCATATATATATATATATATATATATATATATATATATATATATATATATATATATATATATATATATATATATATATATATGTATGTATGTATGTATATATATATAAGTTCAGGCAATATATGCCTAGTGGACGCTTTAGAATTGATCTCTATGCAACATCGTAGAAACTGTGCAAATATTTGCATCGCCTACACAAAACACAGTTGCAACAAATTCTGCTGCAACACGTTTCTTTTTAATTCCAACCGCTTCCCCTCCTCCCCCTATACAACTTTCACACACCACCCCATTCAATCGACCAATACCTCAGCCACTGAAGCATAACTGTATAGAAAACATCAGGCTGACGACTATTTACAAGAGTCCTCAAGTCGATACCCCTTTGATTACCACACAGCTGGGTCAAGTCCATTGAACCAGAGAGACGAGGCTCACGATACTTTCAAGGTCCCGTGTACCGATACCACACAGCTGGATCAAGTCCACTGAACCAGAGAGACGAGGCTCACGATACTTTCAAGGTCCCGTGTACCGATACCACACATTTCAGTTTTTCAAATTGAAGCTTCGAGCTTCGGCAGTGTAATCATAAATGGATATGAATCAAGTGGATTTGTCTCGTTAGAGTTAAAGGTATGTGAGAGACATTTTTAACGCACTTTTTATTTTGCATATTTAATTTTTTAAAATATTTTTTTAAATTTAATAAAGTTGACATCAAATCAACATATTTATTCATAGTGTTTTTATGCTTAGATTCATACGATGTTGATCATCTTGGTCCAAGGAATAAGCGGATGATTTTGTACGATTGTGTGCTGGTTTACTTTGTAAGATTGTGTGCTGGTTTACTTTGTAAGATTGTGTGCTGGTTTACTTTGTAAGATTGTGTGCTGGTTTACTTTGTAAGATTGTGTGCTGGTTTACTTTGTAAGATTGTGTGCTGGTTTACTTTGTAAGATTGTGTGCTGGTTTACTTTGTAAGATTGTGTGCTAGTTTACTTTGTAAGATTGTGTGCTGGTTTACTTTGTAAGATTGTGTGCTGGTTTACTTTGTAAGATTGTGTGCTGGTTGATGATTTTATTTGTTTCAGGATTATGTGTATGATTGTGTGCATGGTAATCTGTATGAATATCAATAACGAACATATTGAAAACAATAAAATGTCTATCCTTAGTGTTTGTTCTCACATAAAATTCAAAAATGTTTTATAAATACGTACAACACAGCATCTTTATGATGGTTGAGTATGTACGTATTGTGATAACATATGTGGTAGTTAACAAAACACTTTGTTAACATTACAATGTATGCAGTAACGGAACAAAAAACCACCCCTCCCCTTGAATTAGTTGGGTGATATACACAGGAAGTGCTGTTATATCTATGAGTTACTCAGTAATCAGATCAATGACAGAAACAGAGTTGCCATTCGCATGGGTGCTCTCTCTCTCCCTCTCTCTCTCTCTCTCTCTCTCTCTCTCTCTCTCTCTCTCTCTATATATATATATATATATATATATATATATATATATATATATATATATATATATATATTAGTAGAAACTCTAAATTTTCAATTAAATATTTAAACCATTTTCTAGTTTGGTACTTTAAACTATTTCATTGCAAAGTATATCCATCGTGACACAACAATTCACAAACAATGGGCGATATTTCTACGCAGAGTGGCCACCCTTGCCTATAAGAAAATATTACCTAATTCCCAGTGGCGCCACCTAGCGGCGTTTTCTTAGAAATACGGCCCATTATGCTCCACCCCATTTCGGGCATGATATAATCTAGTTTTGAAAGCGTTTTTTTTTACTTATTTATACCCACTAAAAATTAAGGAAATTAAAAAAAATTTAGAAAATTTAGAAAATTAAGAAAATTAAGAAAATTAAGAAATTTAAGAAAATTAAGAAATTTAAGAAAATTAAGAAAATTAAAAAATTAAGAAAAATAAGAAAATTAAGAAAATTTAAAAAATTAAGAAAAATTATCTGGCCAGGCGGAGATGTTTCATTTGTGTTATAGTTTTCCGTGTTTGTTTTAATAGTATGTTTTTTTTCCATGTATATTAATAATATTGAATATGTTCTTTTCAATATCTGTGTCATTCTTTATTATGCCTGAATGTAATAATAATTAAGAGAAGAAATTACCTTTTAATTTGGTTAGTGTAAAACGATTTTAATTTACTTTTTGTGCACCCCTATTAGACTATTTACAGAGGAGCGATTAGTCATGAAAGAGTTTTGAAGGATTGCACACTACATCTCATGAGATGGTTTTTGTGTCTATTCAACAGAGTGTGTTAGTTACATTTGAACAATCACTGCTGTAGTAGATATGTTTACTTTTTAACAAAACCACTAATCTATCGAGGTGCAAAAAAACCAAAATACTTTGTTGTTTTTGGTCATCTAAACGGCTTGCGCTACCCCAATGCCCCAATTCATGTTATAGTTAACATGAAACAAATTTGACAGTTAAAATTATAATTCATGTTAAAGTTAAGTACCAGAATAAATTATCTTTGAACAGCTGGTGTCGTGTGTGTTGTGTCATGTGTGTTGTGTCATGTGTGTTATGTCATGTGTGTCGTGTGTGTTGTGTGTGTTGTGTCATGTGTGTTGTGTCATGTGTGTTGTGTCATGTGTGTTGTGTCATGTGTTTTGTGTCATGTGTGTTGTGTGTGTTGTGTGTGTTGTGTCATGTGTGTTGTGTCATGTGTGTTGTGTCATGTGTGTTGTGTCATGTGTTTTGTGTCATGTGTGTTGTGTGTGTTGTGTGTGTTGTGTGTGTTGTGTTATGTGTGTTGTGTGTGTTGTGTGTGTTGTATATGTTGTGTATGTTGTGTATGTTGTGTCATGTGTGTTGTGTCATGTGTGGTGTGTCATGTGTGTTGTGTGTGTTGTGTCATGTGTGTTGTGTCATGTGTGTTGTGTCATGTGTGTTGTGTCATGTGTGTTGTGCCATTTGTGTTTTGTGTGTTGTGTAAGTTGTGTCATGTGTGTTGTGTCATGTGTTTTGTGTCATGTGTGTTGTGTGTGTTGTGTGTGTTGTGTTATGTGTGTTGTGTGTGTTGTGTGTGTTGTGTATGTTGTGTATGTTGTGTCATGTGTGTTGTGTGTGTTGTGTGTGTTGTGTCATGTGTGTTGTGTGTGTTGTGTCATGTGTGTTGTGTCATGTGTGTTGTGTCATGTGTGTTGTGTCATGTGTGTTGTGTCATGTGTGTTGTGTCATGTGTGTTGTGTCATGTGTGTTGTGTCATGTGTGTTGTGTGTGTTGTGTCATGTGTGTTGTGTGTGTTGTGTCATGTGTGTTGTGTGTGTTGTGTGATGTGTGTTGTGTGATGTTTGTTGTGTATGTTGTGTGTGTTGTATCATGTGTGTTGTGTGTGTTGTGTCATGTGTGTTGTATCGTGAGTGTTGTGTGATGTGTGTATGTTGTGTGTGTTGTGTGTGTTGTGTGTGTTGTGTGTGTGTTGTGTCATGTGTGTTGTGTAGGTTGTGTATGTTGTGTCATGTATGTTGTGTCATGTGTGTTGTGTCATGTGTATTGTGTCATGTGTCATGTGTGTGTTGTGTGTGTTGTGTCATGTGTGTTGTGTGTGTTGTGTGATGTGTGTTGTGTCATGTGTGTGTTGTGTGTGTTGTGTCATGTGTATTGTGTGTGTTGTGTGATGTGTGTTGTGTGATGTTTGTTGTGTATGTTGTGTGTGTTGTACCATATGTGTCATGTGTGTTGTGTCATGTGTGTTGTGTCATGTGTGTTGTGTCATGTGTGTTGTGTGTGCTGTGTCATGTGTGTTGTGTGTGTTGTGTGTGTTGTGTCATGTGTGTTGTGTGTGTTGTGTGTGATGTGTGTTGTGTGTTGTGTGATGTGTGTTGTGTGATATGTTTTGTGTGATGTCTGTTGTGTATTATATATGTGTCGTGTCATGTGTGTCATGTGTGTGTTGTGTCATGTGTGTCGTATCATGTGTGTTGTGTTGTGTGAGTTGTGTCATGTGTTTTGTGTCATGTGTGTTGTGTCATGTGTGTTTCGTCATGTGTGTTGTGTCATGTGTGTTGTGTCATGTGTGTTGTGTCATGTGTGTCATGTGTGTTGTGTCATGTGTGTTGTGTCATGTGTGTTGTGTCATGTGTGATGTGTCATGTGTGTTGTGTCAGTTGTGTCATGTGTGTCATGTGTGTTGTGTCATGTGTGTTGTGTCATGTGTGTTGTGTCATGTGTGTTGTGTCATGTGTGTTGTGTCATGTGTGTCATGTGTGTTGTGTCATGTGTGTTGTGTCATGTGTGTTGTGTCATGTGTGTTGTGTCATGTGTGTCATGTGTGTTGTGTCATGTGTGTTGTGTCATGTGTGTTGTGTCATGTGTGTCATGTGTGTTGTGTCATGTGTGTCATGTGTGTTGTGTGTGTTGTGTCATGTGTGTTGTGTGAGTTGTGTCCTGTGTTGTGTCATGTGTGTTTTGTCATGTGTTTTATGTGTGTTGTGTCATGTGTGTTGTGTCATGTGTGTTGTGTCATGTGTGTTGTGTCATGTGTGTTGTGTCATGTGTGATGTGTCATGTGTGTTGTGTCAGTTGTGTCATGTGTGTCATGTGTGATGTGTCATGTGTGTTGTGTCATGTGTGTTGTGTCATGTGTGTTGTGTCATGTGTGTTGTGTCATGTGTGTCATGTGTGTTGTGTCATGTGTGTTGTGTCATGTGTGTTGTGTCATGTGTGTTGTGTCATGTGTGTCATGTGTGTTGTGTCATGTGTGTTGTGTCATGTGTGTTGTGTCATGTGTGTCATGTGTGTTGTGTCATGTGTGTTGTGTGTGCTGTGTCATGTGTGTTGTGTGTGTTGTGTGTGTTGTGTCATGTGTGTTGTGTGTGTTGTGTGTGATGTGTGTTGTGTGATGTGTGTTGTGTGATATGTTTTGTGTGATGTCTGTTGTGTATTTTATATGTGTCGTGTCATGTGTGTCATGTGTGTGTTGTGTCATGTGTGTCGTGTCATGTGTGTTGTGTTGTGTGAGTTGTGTCATGTGTTTTGTGTCATGTGTGTTGTGTCATGTGTGTTTCGTCATGTGTGTTGTGTCATGTGTGTTGTGTCATGTGTGTTGTGTCATGTGTGTCATGTGTGTTGTGTCATGTGTGTTGTGTCATGTGTGTTGTGTCATGTGTGATGTGTCATGTGTGTTGTGTCAGTTGTGTCATGTGTGTCATGTGTGTTGTGTCATGTGTGTTGTGTCATGTGTGTTGTGTCATGTGTGTTGTGTCATGTGTGTTGTGTCATGTGTGTCATGTGTGTTGTGTCATGTGTGTTGTGTCATGTGTGTTGTGTCATGTGTGTTGTGTCATGTGTGTCATGTGTGTTGTGTCATGTGTGTTGTGTCATGTGTGTTGTGTCATGTGTGTTGTGTCATGTGTGTCATGTGTGTTGTGTGTGTTGTGTCATGTGTGTTGTGTGAGTTGTGTCCTGTGTTGTGTCATGTGTGTTTTGTCATGTGTTTTATGTGTGTTGTGTCATGTGTGTTGTGTCATGTGTGTTGTGTCATGTGTGTTGTGTCATGTGTGTTGTGTCATGTGTGATGTGTCATGTGTGTTGTGTCAGTTGTGTCATGTGTGTCATGTGTGATGTGTCATGTGTGTTGTGTCATGTGTGTTGTGTCATGTGTGTTGTGTCATGTGTGTTGTGTCATGTGTGTCATGTGTGTTGTGTCATGTGTGTTGTGTCATGTGTGTTGTGTCATGTGTGTTGTGTCATGTGTGTCATGTGTGTTGTGTCATGTGTGTTGTGTCATGTGTGTTGTGTCATGTGTGTCATGTGTGTTGTGTCATGTGTGTTGTGTCATGTGTGTTGTGTGTGTTGTGTCATGTGTGTTGTGTGAGTTGTGTCCTGTGTTGTGTCATGTGTGTTTTGTCATGTGTTTTATGTGTGTTGTGTCATGTGTGTTGTGTCATGTGTGTTGTGTCATGTGTGTTGTGTCATGTGTGTTGTGTCATGTGTGTTGTGTCATGTGTGTTGTGTGTGTTGTGTCATGTGTTTTGTGTCATGTGTGTTGTGTCATGTGTGTTGTGTCATGTGTGTTGTGTCATGTGTGTCATGTGTGTTGTGTCATGTGTGTTGTGTCATGTGTGTTGTGTCATGTGTGTTGTGTCATGTGTGTCATGTGTGTTGTGTCATGTGTGTTGTGTCATGTGTGTTGTGTCATGTGTGTCATGTGTGTTGTGTCATGTGTGTCATGTGTGTTGTGTGTGTTGTGTCATGTGTGTTGTGTGAGTTGTGTCCTGTGTTGTGTCATGTGTGTTTTGTCATGTGTTTTATGTGTGTTGTGTCATGTGTGTTGTGTCATGTGTGTTGTGTCATGTGTGTTGTGTCATGTGTGTTGTGTCATGTGTGATGTGTCATGTGTGTTGTGTCAGTTGTGTCATTTGTGTCATGTGTGTTGTGTCATGTGTGTTGTGTCATGTGTGTTGTGTCATGTGTGTTGTGTCATGTGTGTTGTGTCATGTGTGTCATGTGTGTTGTGTCATGTGTGTTGTGTCATGTGTGTTGTGTCATGTGTGTTGTGTCATGTGTGTTGTGTCATGTGTGTTGTGTCATGTGTGTTGTGTCATGTGTGTCATGTGTGTTGTGTCATGTGTGTCATGTGTGTTGTGTGTGTTGTGTCATGTGTGTTGTGTGAGTTGTGTCCTGTGTTGTGTCATGTGTGTTTTGTCATGTGTTTTATGTGTGTTGTGTCATGTGTGTTGTGTCATGTGTGTTGTGTCATGTGTGTTGTGTCATGTGTGTTGTGTCATGTGTGTTGTGTCATGTGTGTTGTGTGTGTTGTGTCATATGTTTTGTGTCATGTGTGTTGTGTCATGTGTGTTGTGTCATGTGTGTCATGTGTGTTGTGTCATGTGTGTCATGTGTTTTGTGTCATGTGTGTTGTGTCATGTGTGTTGTGTCATGTGTGTTGTGTCATGTGTGTTGTGTGTGTTGTGTCATGTGTTTTGTGTCATGTGTGTTGTGTCATGTGTGTCATGTGTGTTGTGTCATGTGTGTTGTGTCATGTGTTTGGTGTCATGTGTGTTGTGTCATGTGTGTTGTGTCATGTGTGTCATTTGTGTTGTGTCATGTGTGTTGTGTGAGTTCCGTCCTGTGTGTTGTGTCATGTGTGTCATGTGTGTTGTGTCATGTGTGTCATGTGTGTTGTGTCATGTGTGTTGTGTCATGTGTGTGGTGTCATGTGTGTTGTGTCATGTGTGTTGTCATAAGTATGTTCACCAGCGGCGTAGCGACCCTTCCCGGCGCCCGGGGACAAACTTTTGATTTGCACCCCCCCCCCTCGAACTTTCCATTTGCATTTGGAGAACAAAATTTCCGACTTTTATTGTTTTACTCTCGCTGGCCACGCCGGTTGACTTCATGGAGAGGGTGAGGGCGGATTTTTAAAAATATTTGAATCGGTAAAATATTTCCAAACGGCTTTTCCACGGTGTATATTTAATAAAAAAATATGAAAAATCTGTGTAATCGATGGTTCCCAAAGGCTTTAATTTTTAAAAATGTAAAAATAATGCTATCGCTTGTTTATTACTTTCTCTTATATAGGAAGTATAGAGAAAGTATTGTAATCGTGCACTAAAATAACATAAAATTTTGACAGTTTTCACCGCTTTACTCCTCAGTCCTTCATCACATCCGGAGTATAGAGGACTTATTTTAATCAGGAAAAAAATATAAATACAAATATATAAACATTTGGGCGTTTTATGCGTTATCGAGTCGGAAAAACTGGACTTTGCAATTCTGTCCGTATGTATGTGTGTCTTTGTGTGTGTGTGAACACGATAACTTGAGTACCGTTACAGCTAGGTTGATGAAATTTCATATATAAGTATTATATCAAAATCGTAGATACGTATCAACTTTTGAGCGATTTCCAATTACCAGAAGTAGAACTTTCTCTACTTTGAATTTTTCAAAAGCGTATAACTTGAGTACTATTTAAGATAGATGGATGAAATTTCACATGTAAGTAAAAAATCTAATTCTCTGCCTTCTGTCAAATTTGGAGTAATTTCCGTTGACCGGAAGTACTAGTTTACGCTATTTCCGATTTCTCAAAAAAAAAGAATGTAAATTTATAAAGTACTAATAATATTCCGCACTATTGTGCACATTTTATTTGGCGTTCACAGGTTTATTAAGATTATTCTACTGATCTCTCTTAAAATATGTCCACGGGACTGCTTGTTAGCCAAATTTTAATAGATACATATTATTTTAAAATAATATAAAATAATATACATCTTCTCATCCCTAATATGTCGTCAACTTAAGTCCACTTATAAAAGTATTTTCAGACTTAAAATGTGTTTGATTGTATAACTCCCTTGCAGTGATAATCAATATGTTTTTATTATCAGTTTGATGTAATGTCACAACATTTGTGGGAAAAGACCATTTTTAACATTTCGATTATAAGCTTAGCCTACCCTGAAGGCGATGACTGGTCAAATCAACTTTCTGATACCACTAGCGATATATCTGACATGTTCGGGTGAGTATATATCTTTTATACTCACTAAAATTCTAAAAAATAGAGAAGGGGGGGGGGGGGTAAGGAAGGAGATACATTTTCTCTAGTTATGACATAAAAGTGTTGGTCGCTCTTCAAAAATATTTTCATTAAAATTTAGCGATTAACGCTTTTTAATATTAAATCTAAAGAAAACGTGTGTTTTATTTTTTATTTTAGTTCATTTAAAACTGCGTTTTTACAAGGTTTCCATATGTTTACTATCTATTGTCAGTAAAAGATATTGTTAAAAAATTGAATGTTGGAGCGAGAGATAATGAATGAATAGAATGATGAGGTAGATAAAAGATAGTGATGTTTTATACAGAAAATGGTTGCTATGGAATGTAATTGAGGTAGTTCGGGTCAGAGTTTCTTCCAGGCATCTCTTCGAAGGGGGGGGGGGGGGCCCCCCCCCGAACGAGATGGAATTTATATAGTAAACATACACTTTTACTAGTGTCCGCCCCCCCCCCCCCTCCCCGAAAACTTTTGACCACCCCTCCGAAAATATTAAGTGCCCCCCCCCCCCCCCCCCCGGGAGAAAAAAGTCTGGAAGAAACACTGGTTCGGGTTATGCTGTTGATGTGAGAGGTTGTTTGTGTTAGTAGTTTAAATAAAACCTGAACTAGAATAAAATATTACGCACTCAGTCAATTGTATTCACCTGTCGGTGACCAAGTGATAACCTTTGTGAAGGGATATCTGTAAAAAACGTCCACGGTGTTTAATACTGGTATAGAAAGGTAGAGCCCACTAACATCCCTTACAAACAGCACATGTACAAAGATGGCGACGTTTTATTTTCAGCGGTGAGGTCCCAGAAGATGGAGATAGTGAAGATTCCCAGATTAGTTGTATCATATGTACAGGATGGAAGTGTGTTGGTTAATCTCACGGCCGAAGTGTTTATCAACACCAGCGGTGCTAGCAAAGCTAAGTGGCCAGTCAACAACATCACATTAACATATTATTTTGTGCAGGTAAGTGAAAGCAAATGTAGGAAGATTGCACGGATCAGGGACTCTGGTAGTATTAATGGTGTCACCATACCATACTTTCATAAAAGGATTGGTAACGATCATATTCATGGAGTAAACAGATGAACCTCTGCTATTTTACCACTTACAAATTTAGATTTGCAAGACAAGGGAGGTTAACTCTACTTTACAAGAATAATTTCCCCTTTCATTTTGTAGTTGATAAAACACGACTTTAAAAATAAAAAATTGGATCACGATTAAACGGAGGGTTGCTACAAAATATCAGTCCTTAAATATCTTATTCCCTGACCCAACTCTATAAGCGCTTAGCCAACACCCTGTTTACAAACTTATCAAATTGTATAGAAATAAAATTATGGTCAAACGTTCTTTCTGTCCAGAGGATCATGTGTTTACAAAACTTGCATTTTCACTAAGGTGGAGTCATGTTTAACAACTTCTCTGTGCTTTTTGTCATTGCGGCCCATTAGTAAATATTTTTTAGGGCTTTCTCCCGTGAATTATTTTAAAAAAATTACTACAAGCTCATCTTGTGTGACATTACCCTATTTGATATGTGTTTAAATGACGGGAAAAATAACTCGCCAAGTCCCTTAATCAATCAAAATTATTGTTTTGAACATTAGAGTGATTTGATTGAAAGATATGTATGCTAGCGGCATATAGTAATTATTTTTTACGTCGTTATTTTGGTGAAATTTAAATGTACACATTTTAAATGCTGTATCATCTGACGCGAACTACTATAACATTTTTAAACTTGTAATTTATAATCTAAAGCAAATTTTACTTAGCTGGTCAAAAATTAAGATGACAATGCAAGATATAGAAAAACAAAATAAATTGAGTTGCAAAAATAAAGTTGTAATTAGACGTATTGTATTTTGTATAAGTAAACCTTCTTAAATTAAAGAAGTTCAAGTCAAAAAGAAGTATCACTATTGTAAATACGTATCAGTCCTCATAAGCCGCTGATGAAAACTGTATTACTAAAGCGAACATTGGAAGGTAATCTGATGGAAGTCTAAGACAAAATAGTACATAAAAATTCATAAAAAACGTTTTAATAACAAGCTTTTACGTAATAATGCACTAAAAAGTAGAAACTAAATTATAGACTACTATTTAAATAACTATAAAGAAAAGCGTGGGTCTCTTACTAAATATTAGTAAATGTATCCAACAGGTACTAAAGTGACCCAAGCTTTTCTTTATATTTATTTAAATAGTAGTTTATAATTTATTTTCTACTTTTTAGTGCATTAGTACATAAAAGCTTGTTATTAAAACGTTTTTTATGAAAACATTTTAATTACTTAAACTTTTTAAAATAGAATAGAATCTCGTAAAAAAAAAGAATTGCACACCAAGTGAACGTCAAATAAAATGTGCATAATAGTGCGGGATATTATTAGTACTTTATAAATTCACATGCGTTTTTGAGAAATCGGAAATAGCGTAATCACTTTTTCCGTTCGACGGAAATTTCTCAAAATTTGATCGAAGGCAGAGAATTAGAACTTTTACTTTCATGGGAAATTTCATTTAAGTATCTGAAATATTACTCAAGTTATATGCTTTTGAAAAATTCAAAGTAGAAAAAGCTCCGCTTCCGGGCATCGGAAATCGTTCAAAAGATAATACTGATCTACGATTTTGAAAAAAATACTTAAATATGAAATTTCATCAACCTAGCTGTAATGGTATTCAAGTTATCGTGTTCACACACACACACACACACACACACACACACACACACACACACACACACACACACAGACATACACACAGACATACGGACAAGATTGCAAAACTATGTTTTTCCGACTCAGTGAGCCCTAAAACGTCGAGATTTGCAAATATCTTTTTTTGCACAATTACAAGACTATCTTTACTTCGTATATAGGCTACGAAAAAGTAAAAACGTGTGTTATTTCATAAGCGCTTTAAGTTCAATTACGATATGACTCTAACTTCACAGGACAACGTATCGTCTAGTTTGAATATAATTTTGTACACATAAATGTCATATAATACAGTACATATAAATATCATATAATGTAGTACACATAAATGTCATACAATATAGTAAACATAAATGGCATGCGCACCATATTTAATTACTACGAGCCGACCCGCGGCGTATCATACGCCGCTATTTAGTTGTTTTATTTTCTACTTGTCAGTAATTTATAATTTGTGAATTCAACAGTGCCAACCAATGCTGCCACTGAAAATATTTGCTTTAAAATACTATCAGTTGGTCGTTAAGGACGATAACCCCCCCCCCCCCCACCCTCATTTCCCCCAACCCCTACCCTACCCTCCCCCCCCTCATGAAAGCAGCTTCCTCTTAATTACCTCCCCTAAGTTTAAAATAGTTTCAAACTAAATTATCTGCCCCTAATAGGAGTCACGAAATCGGCTCTGTGATTGTGAACATTTAGCGTGAACCGCAGCTCACCAGACCATGTGGGGGTGGGGGAGGTTGATTTATGCCTAGTGAAGAAGAGAGGGGACTGCAACAAGGCGCGCTTACAGCTTGCTTTCTCGCTTCTCCCAGAAGAGAATTATATATATAGATTGTATCCATGTATAGATAACTATAGAGTTTATCAAAAAGGTCAACTATTGTTTTTTTTCCCAAACAAAATAGATTGTGTTCAAGTTGGATGTAACGAATGACCCTTGTGACGGCTCCAGAAACAACTCCTACCTAACCTGCCTACAAGCTGTACAGGATGGCTACTACATTCTGGTCAACTATCCACATTCTAATTATTACTATCATAGTTATAATTGTAATGAGAACAATTGTTTTGGATATCTCTACGTAATCTGGACTGGAATTGGGAATTCAGTCTGGGCACCTTTGTATTTATACAATTACGGTTAGTACACCACTTTAAAATAGGAATGATTACTTAAAACTAACTCAGAATTTTTTACATTGGATACGTATTAAATTATACAATTATATGAAGAATATAATTAATTTGATACGCTTTTAATATTTAGTATACATTGTTTGAGGTAAATAAAACCACTTTACAATTACACATTTTTGTATTCACACACAAGAGTGTGACATTATTGCAACACAGAAAAATGTACATGATATTTAACAACAACCACACCAAACCCATCAGCCCCCACACACCCATGTTCTATAGCCAATGACTTAATTGTACAGATGTCAACGCTAGCCAAACAGTGACTATCACTACCAACCTTTCAACAAATCCTTGCCTGGGCAAACTACAATTCAAGGACATCATCGTGGATCTCTATGTTAACACTACCTCATACGGACAATTCGATGACAATGAGCTAGATGTTTATGTTGTAGGTATCTTCATAATGTATACATTCGGTTTTTTATTTTCTTTATTGATAAATTAGTGGGTTTTTTAAATTAAAAATATAAACCTGGAATGATCACCCCTAAACTTTCTCGAATATTCTAATATAAAACTACGAGGGATGGCAACTCAGGACATAGACAATATTTGTAATCCATTTTTAATCACTTAAACTTTTTATAATAGAATAGAATCTCGTAAAAAAAAAGAATTGCACACCAAGTAAACGCCAAATAAAGATGTTTATAATAGTGCGCAATATTATTAGTACTTTATAAATTTACATGCGTTTTTTGAGAAAATGGAAATAGCGTAAGTTAGTACTTCCGGTCAACGGAAATTACTCAAAATTTAACAGAAGGTAGAGAATTAGATCTTTTACTAACATGTGAAATTTCATTTAACTATCTGAAATAGTACTCAAGTTTTAGGCTTTTGAAAAATTCAAAGTAGAAAAAGTACCACTTCCGGTTATCGTAAATCGCTCAAAAGTTGATACGGATCTACGATCTAAATCTACTCAGTAAATTAAATCAGGTTTGTCCGCCCCCAAAGGCTCACATGAGCCGCTGAGGGCCATGTAAAACGTGTTTTTTAATAATCAGAAAAATTAACCAAGGTTAGATTATTAACTAGGATGTTTCTTTTTGTCCGTAGAAAAAAATCCAAATAGTTTAGTCACTCTGCGAATGATGCAGTTAGTATCTATTTTTAGACAATCCAATCAGAAATTGAGATCCAGTATCTAATAATAGACCATTAGTAACACTAACATATTGCATCAGTCACACTTATGTTTAAAACACGCTAAATATTTTTTTACGTGTTAAAGATAAAGTCCTGTTCTTTTGTGTCACTTTAGCGAATGACGCAATCTGCATCATTGTTAACATGATGATATTTGGCACTCTGAGTTATCCTATGAGCACGATGGCGCATGTTAGTTTTAAGGAGCCAGGGGCCGTACGCAGCGCCTATGCGGTAGTGTAATGGGGGGGGGGGGGGTCCTGAGAGCGCCTCTCTGCGTCCCTGACACATGGGCGGTCACCGAAGTGTGTTCTGCCTCATTATTTCAGTGAGTAATTAATGTACACTCAAGGTTTTCATGCGGTAGTGTAGGTAAACCCGTGTCCTGATATTTATAATCCAAGCGCAGGCATTGTTTACATTTAAATAACTCACTTTTAGAAAAGAAGGTCACGCGTCTAATAAAATATGATTGGTAACGCGTTGATGAAATCCTTCTAATATATTTCGTCAAACTTTCTTTCTACCCGGGGGACGGGTACGCTAGTATGGTTATAAAATCCTGTCTGTCTGGGTTTTTTCGGACTTAACTAAAGATTGGATGAATTTGATGTTTTTAATATTTTCGGTAACTCCATAAAAAAAATAAAAAAAAAATACTTAAAAAAAACTTTAAAAAAAACCACGTTTTTCTTGTGGACTAAAAATTAGAAAATAAATTATACACTACTATTTAAATTACTATAAAGAAAAGAGTGGGTCACTTTAGTACTTTAGTGCCTATTGGATACCTTTACTAATATTTGAGAAGTGACCCACGCTTTTCTTTATAGTAATTTAAATAGTAGTGTATAATTTATTTTCTAATTTTTAGTTCACAAGAAAAACGTGGTTTTTTAAAAAGTTTTTTTTAAGTATTTTATTTTCTCCTTTTTAGTCCGTTGCTACACATGAAAAACGTGGTTTTTAAAAAGTTTTTTATATAGTTTATTTTCTACTTTATCTAATGACTTGATTAAGTATAACTTGACTAAGTGTTTTTAAATACATAACAATTTAGAGGATTTTTTATCAAAATAAAAAGGATCAAAAGGTTTTTGATTGCTTTTAGGTCGTTGGCCCACCGTCCATCCCTCCTCGAACAGATTAACTGTCGATTCTCCACCCACCTTAAGCATTACACTGTAAAACATTAAAAAAAACGTGGTAATTGCACACCAAGTGAAAAGTTTCTCTTTCAAACCTGACGGTCTATGGGGCAAGTGAAGTAGAGTTCACTTGTTTCTGTGACCTCGGCATTTGAAGAGATAGTGTGGTCAGCACTATGCCCAGCCGCCTTTACTTTCCCTAACAGGAGTTAGGTACCCATCAGAGTTGGGTGGACTCAGGGACGGTCCACTGACTTGAACTCGGATTCGAACTCGAGACTAACGGGTTAGCAGTCCAGCTCTCTACCGCTAGACCACGCCGTCCCACACCAAGTGAACGCCTAATAAAATGTGTATAAAAGTGCGGGATATTATTATTACTAGTACGTTTTTGAGAAATCATGTCCTCAATTTTAGGGTCCTAGGGGCGTAATTTAATTAAGATAATTTAGGTCTCTAATTGCTAGTTTTTATGATTGCATCTGAAATTGTTAGGCGAAAATAGCCTGCATGCCGAATTTCAGATCTCTAGAGCAATCAGAAGTGGGCTAATTTTCTTTGTCAATTTTAACAACAAACCCATAAACAAACAAACAAATAAACGCGAAGCTGAGTTAAGAAAAACGTGTTAAAAAAGCAAAAACAATTTGGTTTTCACGTGGAATGGCGACATAAACAATGGCATCCTGTTATTCGATAGGCCGCCATAAATTTTATGGTACACATGGTAAGCTAAAAAAAAGAAAAAAAAACTAGGTCATGGGGTTTTAATTTGCATTATTATTTGAAAACTTGATCTGCAAAGTTTTGTAAACAAAAAAACTATAAAGTGGGGCAGTCAGAAATCGATCACGGAGTTCCTGTACAGCCAATCACTGTTTGTCTTACGAAAGTGAAACATCGGGTTATAACTTAGGCTTGATGAAAATAAATAGAAACACAAATTATTTCAAGTTTAGGCTTAATTTCTAATTTTTTAAATTATTTTTACGGTCTTAAATCTAAATAAACCGGGAGTGATCTCCCCTAAACTTTCTCGAATATTCTTAAATAAAATAACAGGGGATGGGAACTTGGGCTATAGACATTTATAATATAAGCGAGCTGAGCGTGTGTCAGTCTGTCATCGCTATAATTTTGAAACCATAAAAGTAAACATCGCACCATACTGTGCTTCTCAGTGCACCGCAGTGTCTTATTAAAAGTATTAGAGTAGGGTTTGTTTATATAACGGCATAGAGTTATTTTATAATTTCCACCATTTTTACTTTTTTTGCATAACATATTAAAAAGATCAATGTCAAATATCATTTTCGTTTATATTCCTAGAAAAAATTGATACATTTTCATAAAAGTAGGTCGAAAAAACTAATTAATTCAACTTTTTGTTTGTTGTAATTTTTGCAAGGGAGGTAATTTGAAAATATATTTAACTCATCAATAATTTTTTTTATTATTACCAAATTGATTATTATATGTTAAGGTTCATAATTAAAAGAGAAAAATGTTAAGATTATTTATATTATTTATTATTATTTTCTAATTAGTCTATGATTTCTCAAAAATCACTATCTGTTTGCTTTTGTTTTTCGGTGTTATGAAAACAGATGTTGAAATTAGACTTTTTGAGAATAATGGAAAGGCTCTCTCTGTGCGCAGACGCCGGGCAAAACGTGTTTTTAATATTCAACTCACTCTCAATAATTTAAGTTAATTTTTTTATTACTACCACATTGATTATTATATGTTAAGGTTCATAAGTAAAATTTAAAAAATGTTAAGATTATTTACATTATTTTCTAATTAGACTATGATCTCTCAAAATCACTATTTTTTGTTTTTGTTTTTCGGTATTAACAGATGGTGAAAATTTAGAATTATAGTATAGAGAATGCTGGAAAGGCTCTCTCTGGGCGCGGACGCCTAGGAAAAGCGTGTTGTTCGGTGGTGATTCTATTGTTGTGGTTGTGTTGTGGTTGTGTTGTGGTTGTGTTGTGGTTGTGTTGTGGTTGTGTTGTGGTTGTGTTGTGGTTGTGTTGTGGTTGTGTTGTGGTTGTGTTGTGGTTGTGTTGTGGTTGTGTTGTGGTTGTGTTGTGGTTGTGTTGTGGTTGTGTTGTGGTTGTGTTGTGGTTGTGTTGTGGTTGTGTTGTGGTTGTGTTGTGGTTGTGTTGTGGTTGTGTTGTGGTTGTGTTGTGGTTGTGTTGTGGTTGTGTTGTGGTTGTGTTGTGGTTGTGTTGTGGTTGTGTTGTGGTTGTGTTGTGGTTGTGGTTGTGTTGTGGTTGTGTTGTGGTTGTGTTGTGGTTGTGTTGTGGTTGTGTTGTGGTTGTGGTTGTGGTTGTGGTTGTGTTTGTGGTTGTGTTTGTGGTTGTGTTTGTGGTTGTGGTTGTGTTGTGGTTGTGTTGTGGTTGTGTTGTGGTTGTGTTGTGGTTGTGTTGTGGTTGTGGTTGTGTTGTGGTTGTGTTGTGTTGTGGTTGTGTTGTGTTGTGGTTGTGTTTTGTTTGTGTTATGTTTTTGTTTGTTTTGTTCTGTTCCAAAATTGGTACATTTAAAAAAGATTTACCGTGGCGGAGCACGGGATGCAGCTAGTGATTTTTTATCCATTTTAAATACTTAAAGCTTTAAAAATAGAATAAAATTTGGTAGAAAAATTAATTGCACACTAAGTGAACGCCAAATAAAAAAGTGTATAATAGTGCGCAATATTATTAGCACTTTAAAAGTGTACATTAGTTTTTTGAGAAATCGGAAGTAGCGTAAATTACTACTTCCGGTCAACGGAAATTACTCAAAATTTAACAGAAGGTGGAGAATTAGATCTTTTACTTACATGTGAAATTTCATTTATCTATCTGAAATAGTACTCAAGTGATAGGCTTTTGAAAAATTCAAAGTTGGAAAAGTACCACTTCCGGTTATCGGAAATTGCTCAAAAGTTGACACGGATCTTCGATTTTGAAAAAATACTTATATATGAAATTTCATCAATCTAGCTGTAACGGTACTCAAGTTATCGTGTTTACACACGGACACACACACACACAGACAGACAGACACACAGACATACGGACAAGATTGCAAAATTATTTTTTTCCGTATCAGTGAGGTGTAAAACGTCGAGATTTGTAAAAATCTCGATTTTTTTTTTGCACGCTTACAAGACTTTCTCTATACTTCGTATATACGAGAATGTAAAAAGCACATTTTTATTCATGTCAACAACATTACGGAAGGATTCTCGTCAACTTGCTGGTGTCCATTAGGCCGTAATGTCAGTCTTTTTATCAGTATCGATGGCGTCATTTCTTTTGAAAACGGGGGGGGGGGGGGGGGCTTAGACGTTCTTAAGGTGGGGTGGGGGGGGGGGGGGGGGGCGGGGGCTTTGCCCCTACCCGAACAATTGCATGGACGAAACTGCCTGCACGCAAACCACTTTTAAGATTAGACAAAAATGGCTTATTAATTCAATGTTTACTCGAGAATCACGTCATACTATTCTGCGCACTTTCCCGGCTTGAGACAATTTTCTACTTTATACTCCATGTGACGTCACGTTAAAAAGTTTAAGTATAAAAAATCATGTCTATATCCCGAGTTGCCATCCCACGTCGTGTTATATAAGAATATTCGAGAAAGTTTAGGGGAGATCACTCCCGGTTTATTTTTATTCCTATGATCTCTTAAAATACTTTTTTTTTCGGTGTTATTTAAAAGGATGGTTAAATTAGATTTAAGTGTAAGAATAAAATTATTAAACTAAAACATTCTTTATGATTGTGCTTGCATTTGCGTTAACGTTTGTTTTTGTGTTTGTGTTTGCGCTTGTGTTTTATATATATATATATATATATATATATATATATATATATATATATATATATATATATATATATATATATATATATATACTTGATATAATTATGATTCAGATTTCCTTTTGCCCATAGCCATGGTCTTCCAATCATATTTGCCAAATACTTATCCACAAGAGGGAGTGCATCACCGTCGATAACATCTGCGGCTACTGTGTTAACATCACTGATGATGGTTACCTGATTCGTCTCAATGTCTCAGTCAGCGACACATTTGGGTATCAGGCCTGGGGTTTCTCTATCAATGCTAGGTGGAATTTCCGATTCTCATTTGAAGGGTATTTCAGTTTTGAGGGTAAGAAAATAGTAATATAATGGACTTTATAAACAAAATCTTACAAAATTACCAAAAATAAAAATGAACTGTTTTAAGTATTATTTGTTTGAACCCAGTGATCGAGTGGCTTCAGGCTGAAGCTGAGATGTACTTGTACTTCGGTGTGGCCCAGAACACTAGCACAGTCACCACAGCAGAGTTTGTGTTTCCTGGATATGTGACGAGTACTATGGGCACGGAGTATGGCAACTTTAGCCTTAAGCTCGCGACAGGAGATGAGGTCAAGCTGTATCTGACAGTCAACTCACAACAACAGCAGCTTAACTTTAAGAAGGAGGAGTTGGACAAGGACATTGTACTGACGTCACAGTTGTGGGCATGCCCCAGAGAGACGTTCATTTGCAACAGCTTTGGTGAACAATTTTTTTTTTACTTTATCGTACACAGAACATAGCGGAAGTATTGTAAGCGTGTACAAAAGTTAAATCAGATTTTGACAATTTCACCGTTTTACACCTCACTATTTTTTACGTATACGGAATATACAGGATCTATTATAATCATGCATAAAGCTAAATCGAGATTTAAAAAACTTTGGACGAAAAACATCCTTCCGATACGGAAAAACTTGGTTTTGCAATTTCGTCCATGTTTGTCTTTGAACATGATAAATGAATTACCGTATTAGCTAGGTTGGCGAAATTTCATATAAAAAGTATTATGTCGAATTATTATTAGTTCTATACCAACTTTTGAGCGATTTCAGGTGAACGGAATTCGTACTTACTCTACTTCCGTTTTCTCAAAATCCAATAACCAGAGCACAGTTTTCAGTTACATGGACGCTATTTCACATTTCAAGTACGGTAACCGGAAGTTATACTTTACTATATTTCCACGTGAACACTATTACTTGAGTACTGTTTCATTTATGTGCATGAAATTTCATATATACATTGATTTTTTTCAAAATTTCCGAGAACCGGAAGTAGTACTTTCACCTATTAACAGTTTCTAAAATACTGATAACGTAGGTGCGCTTTCATTTAGGTGAACGAAATTTTATACATAGGTATAAGATCTTATTATCTTGATTCTTTCAAATTTTGACTTAATTCCGGTGACTGGAAGTATAACTTCCGATTTCTAAAAAAAAATCACTTTTACCGAGGCGCTTTGTTTCTAAATTTTTTAATTAGGTAAAAGGCTCGATGATAATGAAATTGTTACATAAAATTGACAGTGCTATCCTGTATGAAAAGCATCGAAAATATTGTAGTGGTTAATTTTAGTCGCCTAAAAACGATGCGTTCTAATCCTTGTCAAAACCTGAGCTAAGAACCTACTGATGTTTCTATCTAACGTCAAAACCTGAGCTAAACTTTATAGATGTCTCTAATCCCCTCAGCTCAACTCTGTGACCCAGTGACAGTTGTAGAGGAGTCTGACATTGTACGGGTAACCTTGACCTGTCCGAACTCTTCTGGTCCTAACTACCTGCTTGTGAACGGCGGTCAAAGGGTAGGTCTGTAGTAGTTCATATAAAAAATGTGTTGATTTTTAATTTCTCGTATGCAGGAAGTGAAAAAAATCAAAGTTAAGATTTTCACAGGTCTCTACGTTTTATACTTTTCTGCGTCGGGAGAACTTAGTTTTGCAATTGTATCTGTATGTTTGTATGTGTTTGTATGTGTTTGTGTACTGTTTTAGTTGTGTTGAAGAAATTTCATAAATATTTTTTTGTATCAAATTTGTAGTTCTGTATCAACTTTTGAGCAATTTCGGGTAGCCGGAAGTGATACTCTACTTCAAAAGCCTATAACCTGACCATTTAGGTAGACGAAATTTAAATTTAAGTATGACACGTGTATGCGCATGCTTCTTTCCAATTGTGAACGATTTCCGGTAACTATAAGTGGTACTTTACTCTAGTTATGAGGGAACAACAAAACTTGAGTATTGTTTCAATAAAATGTTATACTTAGATTACTTTCTTTCAATTTTTGAGTGACCGTCGATATCCGAAACTAGTACTTTACTATATTTCTGATTTCTAAAATATTTTTTTGTTTCAATAAAATTTTGAAGATTTTCAGTGACCGAAAGTACTACGTTATGCTTTTTACGATTTCTCAAAAAAGACAATTAAAAAAAAAACAACAACATAGGAATTTATTTATTTTAATACCTCTGTTTATCCCACATCATACAGCGGATACTTGCGCGAACAATTTCAACCTCTTATACTGGAACGATTTCCTTCAAACTTTTCACGTGTGTCAAGATTCAATGACAATGCAATGTGATATGAATGTGCCTTATGTTCAATTAGTTTTTTTAAACTCGATCAATATTTCCTTTATTAAGCACCATGTTTCCGCGTTATTATACACAACATATGTGCGTATATTTGGTGCCCATTTCTTTTTAACAAAGTAATATATGAGAAAGATTAAAAGAGATCGATCCCGCTTTATCTCATTATTATTTTTAACAGTTTTTAAAATCTATAAATCTATAAATCTTAAAATAACACGTGCAGTCATAATTTTACACCGGATATTTATATTCAAGCAAAAATTGCTTATAACGAAGGTATGAAAATAATCGGAAAGTTACAAAACAAATTCCAGATAAATTTAATCTATTGAAAGCGTCGGATATAAAGTTATTTGAAGTGCCATTACTATTTGAGGCACATTGGTAAATTTCAGTTAATGCAACTGTGTATCAAATAGTATTGGCATTTCATGTCATCCAAAAGTACTTTGATCGCTATTTCCCTTTGCTTGTTTGATTATACACCCTGCCCTAACTTAGGCATGCATTTGTATACATTATGAAACGCCTCAGACACAAAATAATTTTAAACTGTTAATTCCAGGAAGCGACGTCTGTTGAATGTCAGTCCCAGGACCAGTGCCACACCTGGATCTTTGAAGTGGAAGTAAACTCCCTACTATTTATCCTTTCGCCGATATTTAAAATTACCTACAATAACTTCGGATGTCGTAAAATTGAAAACAGTAAGATCATACTTCAGTGTTAGAAACTAATTGAAAACATAAGATCATAAACTTCATTGTTACAAACTAATTGAAAACAGTAAGATCATAAACGTCAGTGTTACAAACTAATTGAAAACAGTAAGATCATAAACTTCAGTGTTACAAACTAATTGAAAACAGCAAGATCATAAACTTCAGTGTTTCAGACTAATTGAAAACAGTAAGATCATAAACTTCAGTGTTACAAACTAACATAAAAAATATTTCCTGACTTTCCAACATGAGCATGCTAGTGATGAGGATTAAAAAACTTTTAAATCTTATAATGCAGCTTTATTTTAGTTCAGCACATTATGTTGAATCACGTTTTTTAAAGCAAAAGTAGTCGTTTATCTTCTTCTGTTTTTTTTATGTATTGTAGTTGGGTTTTAGACTGCGAAAGGTATATTTTGTGAGAGTTTATTAAGAAATACGTTTATTGAAGTTAGGTGTAATTGTAATTTAAAATTAAATACATACAGTAGTTCGGTTGGAAAAGATATATATATATATATATATATGTATATATATATATATATATATATATATATATATATATATATATATATATATATATATATATATATATATATATATATATATATATACACACATATATATGTCGACATCAAATTCTTTCTCCAGTTGAGTCCAAACCTGTCATAGAGAACTGCCCAAAAGGCGATGACGTCAGAGACGGTTACGTCCGGACCAACAGCCCAGCCAGCTGCACGTGCCGTATGGAGTCCAACTCACCCTACAGCACTGCCCTGGTCCAGTGGATGACGTCAGACTACTGGCCTCTGACGGAGTTGGGGAAGATCGTCGTCATCGACGTGGCTGTTCATCCCAGTGAGTTCATGTGTGACGTCAGCTGTCTTTGTATTTGTATGCTGTGGGCTGTGTGTTTGACGCCAGCAGTCTGTGTGACGTCAGCTGTATACATGCTGCTAGTGTGTTGAAAGATTTGTTTATTTGGGAGCTCGCTAAAAATGTTTACAACTTACCCATCTTAATTAGATATGGTGAGCTCTAATGAACTTACGCAGTTAACGCTAGTTAATTCCCACAGCCCCCTATAATTAATCCCACACTTAACTCTAGTTAACTCACAGAATTAACTATAACTAATTACCACAGATAACTCTAATTAACTCACACAATTAACTATAACTACCTCATAAATTAACTCTAATTGCCGCAGACGATTAACTCTAATTACCTCAAGCAGTACGTGACATAATTAACTCTAATTAACTGACATAATTAACTCTAATGAACTGACCCCATAAAACACAGACTACGCTGGAACTGCCCTAGTCTGCAGGATGACTGACCTTGGAGAACCCGATCAGGATGTCCAGTACCAGCCCAAATTTTACGGCAAGTTTTTTATTTTATTTTTAGATCAAGAGTTAGACCATGGTAGTCTAATTAGAATAGTAAACATCTAATAATTTTGAAAAGGAAATTAAAAATTAAAAAAAAAAAACAACATTTCAGAAAGTGTATTGAACACATACATTAGGGTTAGAGAAGGTATCGACTTAAAAAAGGTTCCGCTACAAAACGTTTTTTTTTTCTTTTTTTTTTTCGGTCGAGTATGGTGGGATTTATATAGCAAAGTGTGATTTACGCTTCAGGCATTGGAACACGCACGACTGAAAAATTGATTTTATATTGATCATCCATGGGTTTTACAGCTGGTTATTGCAGTTTATTTGCCGAGAAAGTTGGAGGGGGGGGGGGGTGAGGAGGAAATGCAGACTGCTTTGTAAATCTAAGCTCAAATATTCCCAAATCTTAATTATGACATTGTAAGGGATTTCCTTCAACATAATTACATATCACTTGCCAACATTTTATGTGCCATATACAGCACGTTGAATCTACTTCAGCCTGCTTTTCTTTCAACCAAGAGCGTATAAATGTAGAAGCTGTTCGATTTTAGAGGTTCCGTTCCTAGATTGGTTAATGCACGGGGGACCAAATTCAGTACTTAATGGGTTAGTAAACTTGCGCTCTACATGCCGTCCCCTATAGCATCAAATAAATAACGTGTTAAAATTTACGTTTGTAAGACGAGCCAACACCTTATAAGAAAAAAAAAGAAAACAAACATAGGACCTTGTGTAGCATGGGGATAAATTTGTGATGGCAACACAATCTTACTTTATGAATTGAAATGGTAACACCGAGTGTAAAAATATTCCAGAGATACCTACGGTAAAAGAGGTGACCGTGAACGGAAGTGACGTCATCACGGCGGACCCTGGCACTGCGGTCCGCCTGTACTGTAGAGTGGACGGTCTCCCGTCCGCCATCGCTGTCACCACCGGAAGTGGACTGGGTAGGGTCAAAGAAAACCGGTCAGTGAGCGATGCCCTGGAGATTGTCTTGTCAGACCTACAGTGCCGGGACTCTGGGAGGTACTACTGTTGGGGAAGTAACGGGTTCGAGACCAACCAAAGCAGAAGGCAGAAATTTGTGGATGTTAATGTTAATTGTGAGTCTTTGTTTAAAAATTCAATATGTATTTACTATATTATTTGACGAAGAAAACATCATTTTGTTTACTGTTAAGAATCTGCCCGTTAAAACAAATGAGAATACATTATCCTGTAATCTATACCGACTAAGGTTGGCAAGGCTTTAAAGATTTCGTTCCGTTATTTTTTTTTCATGCCAGTTTTTGTATTACAATAGTGTGGTTTGAATCAGTCACAGCAATCGATGTTTTCTTCTATTTTCTGGGTTGCGGGTTTATATTATGTCGCCTGCTGTTGTGAGAGCATAAATATGTATTAAGATATCAAAACTAAATATTTTTGCTATTTGTAAACATATAGGTGCACCCAAACTGAAAAACGAAACGACCCCGGGGGAAGTGCAAAAGGTCAAGGTTACACCTAACACCAATACTTCCGTCGGCCTTGAGATCTTTGGCTACCCGCCCCCTACAGCCTTTCAGCTAAAAACAGAAACGGGAAAAACCGTTAGTGACGTCAGCTTGAACCAGTACAAGGTCACCTACAGTGACCTGACCCCGCCCTTGGGTCTGGTCAACCTGACCATCTATGACGCTGAGGTCAAGGTCACGGTGAACTACATTCTCACCCTCAGGAACGAGGTGGGGGAGTCTGACGTCAGGATGCAGGTCATCAAACAGGAAGTTCATGTTGACACAGGTACATCCGTGCATGACGTCATTACATGTATATCCGTGCATGACGTCACGCAGACGTTATACAAATATTTAAGAATTCTGGCACTGCCATGTATTTTGTTATAGATATTTACACAGTATTATCCATGAAGATGGACACTTGCTAAAAGAAAAATTCTAACCCATCTGTCCACATATATTTGTAAACAAGATTACTTTATACACTTAAGTTTAACTGATAGCTCTAATTTGAGAAAAAATACACGTCTTAACAATTATAAATATATTAAAACAGTTGTGTATGCTACTTTTCAGATTTACCTACTGTATATTTGCATAATAAAAATACGAATTTTTTTGTTATTTATTTTTCAGATACAAATGTACCGACTGTTGGTATCATTGTAGGTGTGGTGGTGGCTATTTTGATCATAGTTCTGATAGCTGTAGTGGTGTTTGTCTATAAAAAGAGGAAAACCGATAAATCAAAGTCAAACGACAGTAACGAGGGCGGCAACGGATTAAGTTATGTGAACTCGGTCATGGACACGGCTGGCCGTGTAGTGGACACACACATGAACCTGCTACACAGGTGTGCTGACAGTGAGAGGAGCCTCCTGACACAGACGGCGGGAAGAGAGCGGGAGATGATTCTAGAATCTGGGGAACGGCAGCGGCATGGGTTGGTAAAAACTGGGGAGAGACAGCAAGACTTGCTCGCAGAGATAGGCGGGGAACAGAGGGGACGGATTATACGAAGTGGGGAAGAGCTGAAGTCTGGACTTAAAGACACAGGCGTGGAGTTAACAGACGGGATGATAAAAACTGCTGAAGGTCTGAAAGTTGGCTTAGAAGAAACTGGAGAACAACAAAAGAAAGGAGTTGTAAAATCTGGTGAAGAACAAAACAAAGTTTTAAAGAAAACTGGGGAACAACAAAGAAAAGAGATTTCAAACAAAGGCAGAGAACAAACTAACATCATCAGAAAGGCTGGCGACAAAGAAGGAAAACAAATTTCACAGCAGTCACAAAAAGAAAGAAAAGAATTATCTCAGTTTTCACACAAAGAACAGACCGAGATAGGGAGGCTGGGGGAGTCAGAGAGAGGTAAGATACACGAGGTGTCCGTGGGAGAGCAGCAACGTATCTCGGAGACGTCCAGACATGAGCAGCAGAAGATCACAGACTGGGCAGACGAACAGCGAGAGAGGTCGTCTGAAAATGTGGAGAACGAGCGCAGATCTGGGGAACATGACATCACAGCCAGCGTGATGAATGAGTCAGGTAATTCAATCTAAATTTAACTTCCGACAAACCAGCTCGGTAAACCCATACTTATGTTTTAAATAATTAACACTACACACAGTTCTAACAAGTTAATTAAATAACACTACACATGTATCTAACCAGTTAATTAATGGACTAATTAACACTACACACAGTTCTTATCAATCAAGTTATGAACACTACATAAACATTTTGTGGAGAAAGTTCCATCGATTTTGTAAAGTTGGTTAAATGCCAAGTTTTTTATTTTGTCGAGTTGATTAAGTGCAAAGTTATATATTTTTTTTTACTTTTTAAAATGTTTAGTTCGGCATCACAACAAGCTATAAACCAATGCATCGAGATGTCAATTTTAGCTAGAGGGTCATTAACTGTGCATATTCTTATGTTTTAGACAATTTGTGAAACATGCCTTTCCTGCAGACTTGATCGAACAATCAAACATACCCAACTCATTTTAATTCCGTTCTCATAATTTCGGTGGTTTTAAGTTGTAGGAATGTGTTTGTTGTAAATAGATATAGGTTGTTCACAAGCAGTCAGTTCTAGTTGAAAGAATGAAAAGTTGGGGGAAAACTTGTGTATTAGAGATTTCTAGAAGTTTCTAGACTTCAAATTAAACGTTAACGTTATATTTTTATTTTCCACAGACACAGATCAAGGTGAATAACCCGTTGATAACGCAGTTAGAATTTTTTTTTTTGTTTTGCAGAGGTACAGTTCCTTGCTAATAAAGGGCATTTGTTTAGGTTGTATATGATTTAGAATGATATACATTTTTTATTGAATGATATAAATAATGATGTAAATTAATTTTATATAACATAAATGTTTGTATTAATTAAAACAATTTTTAATGGCATACATAAAATTTCATGTTTATTGCCTTAATTGCAACTAATTATCTTCTACATCAGAAGAATTTGTTTTTTTATATAATGAATTGTTCTTTTGATATATAGAAACATTTTTGAGTAATAACTTTATATTTTTATTATAAATATATATTATACACTTATATATAGCCACGGATAGATCATCAATAAACATAACATGTGAAGATTAAATACAAATGTGAGATATTGTGTAAAGTGATGATGACTATTGATGTAAATATAAAAAGTATATTTGTAAACTTTAGGCAGCTCTTTAACATACACATATGTTGAATATTATATATGCACATATTTTAAACCGGCGGCTTTGTGTATACACACATTGTGGCCATACATTCTTTATGTATATCAGTGTGTGTGCGCGCGTGAGTATGTGTGTGTGTGTGATTCGAACATGTATTTTAATCTTTTTTAAAGCAGCATTTGAAAAGTTCAACACTAAATTGCGTTTGAAAACCTGTTGTCATTTGTCAAGTGTATACTATATCGCTGAAAAGTTGATTCAGAACTACAAATTTGATATAATACTTATATATGAAATTTTATCAACCTTGCTGTAATGGTACTCAAGTTATCGTGTTCACAGACACACATACACATACAGACATACGTACAGAATTACAAAGCCCAGTTTTTCCGACTCGATTACGCATAGAACGTCATGTGTGTACTAGTAACTGAAAGTGGCACTTATTCTACTTTAAATTTTTTAAAACCTATAACTTGAGAACCGTTTCATATAGATACATGAAATCAGAGTTTCTTCCAGGCATCTCTTCGGGGGGGCGAAGCCCCCCCGAAAAATTTTTACCGCCCCCCCGAACGAAATGAATTTTATATAATTTATATAGAAAATATATACTTTTAACAGTGTCCGCCCCCCCGAAGAAAGTTTACCGCCCCCCCGAAGATTTCAAGTGCCCCCCCGGAGAAAAAAGTCTGGAAGAAACACTGCATGAAATTTCACATGTAAGTAAAATTTCTAATTCTCTGCCTTCTGTCAGATTATGAGTAATTTCCGTTGGCTGGAAGTAGTAATTTCCGCAATTTCCGATTTATAAAAAACACATGTAAATTTATAAAGTACTAATAATATTCCGCACTATTATACACAGATTGTTTGCCATTCGCTTGGTGCGGATTTTTTTCTACGAGATTTTATTCTATTTAAAAAAATTTAAGTAATTAAAATGGATAAAAAATATTGTCTTTATCCCGAGTTGCCATCCCCCATAGTGTTATCTAAGAATACTCGAGAAAGTTTAGGGGAGATCACTCCCGGTTTATTTTTATAATAATAACAAACAAATAGCACTGAACTGAACGTCAAAATACATGGCTATATTGGAGGTTCTCCTTTAAGCACACGTGACCTTTCCAATATTTTAACACTGATTAGAATCGCTATTGTTTTTAATTACAATGGCATTGCAATAATTGCTTCCCGCGCGGACGTCCTCAATCTTAACGCTCTGGTCAGGGCTGGTGTCAAATGTCACGTTCAAATAATAACTTCCGTGTGTTCGTTGATCGCTCACAATAGAGCGTGAACTTTGAACCTCGGCTGGACTGTCGTCACTGGCAGTCACGTGACTATCTTCAATCTCGTGGTAGATGTTAGAGATGTCTAAAAGAGGAAAAAAAGTTTGGAAGTGTTTAAAAATTGGTTTATAACGGTTTAAATTGTGTTCGTTTGTAAGTGCTAAATATATTAAAAGAATAATCATAGAATTTTAAAAGTTATTAAACAAAAATATATTTACTTTAAGTGTGTGTTTTTTTTTTACACATTTGCTTAAAAAATGTACGCACACACATGATAAAACATGTAAAAATTACAATGTCTGATGAGAGATATCCACACTGTATCAAAGTTAAATCACAAAGGATAATTTACAAGTACAGGATCCCCACCCCTACCTCACATAGAACATTTAATAAACCAAAGTGAAGGCGGCCCAATCTTCAAGCAGTTAACTTGATTTAGGAAGTGTACGAATGGATATATGGGTCATCATTAGCACGGCAGCAAGTAGCTGTGGAATGGTGTAGCCAGTGTTTCCTGGCTGACCATTGTCACACAAATATCTGTATCCTAACTGGGTCACACATCTTTTACTACTAAGCCCCCCCCCCCCCTTCCACTTCTGCTATTCAAACCACGCATGTGGCTTTTTAAAAAAAGTATTTTAAAAATGTGTAACTGTGTTGAAAAACGAAAAATAAAATAATCTTTGCTTTGTTTTAATATGTTCCTTAATTTTAATACGATATAGAGTCTTAACTAGTTTTTGCTTTTAATAATTTTTTTTTGATTATGGTGGTGTCTAAATCTAGTTGACCACCAGCTTGGGGGAGGTTTGCCATCCTGCTTAATTAAAAATCTTCAGCCCATTTGAGCTTTTCTGAATTTTAAAAACATGATTAAGAATAAATGAATCAGAAAATGTTACCAGCGTCATCTGTAGTGTCAGACTGACAGTGATAATGATTTGAAACTGTTTTAACCTCCTGTCTGCTTTCTTTCTTACTGGCACAAACATTTCTGGAAAAATAAAAAGCAAAATGTTAAAAAATACAACTTTATTTAAAATTATACATAAGATTAAATCATTACGTTAATTATTATATTTTGTGTGCGTATACTTATTTTTATATTATAAAAAAAGAAAGATAATTATATTGATAATATTGAAGCAAGTAAATTTAAGTAACAAAAAATATCCAAACGAAGTTAATTAAAGTTTTGAATTTTACAGACGACATTAAATATTTGTAATTTTTTAGCGCAATTTCCATTCTGGAGAATTGCGTTTATTACTTCGTCATTTCTGGGAATGGATGGATGTATGAATGAATGAATGAATGAATGTATGGATGAATGTGTGTCCGGGCTTTAAGTCGTATCTCCTCCTCAACGAAGCAATATCGATGACTAGTTCCAAAAGCAATTATGTTAAGCAAGTTACGAGAATGAGCATAGGCCATAAAAATTCCGGGTTTCTTTCATGTATTTCCAGGAAAAGCCAAAAAGCTCAAATTCAGTTTTTGGCCCATATCTCGGCAACCAGACCACTTAGCGACTTGAAACATGTACCAATCGATTTCTGCCGTAATTTAAAACAATATTGCAGAAGAAAGTTTTCAAAAATATCCTCTCGTTCGGTCACAAATTTTAAAATTACATAAACACCTACAAACCGATCGTTCTTCTAGCTTGAACGCACCCCAGCATTATACGTCAAAGCTATTTTTAGATAACATAAGGAAATTGCGCATAAATGTCACTAGACTTTTTTAATTAACTTGTTTTAAAAATTTGCATGCCTTGCTGATGCTGTTAAAACAAGCATTTTTGCAAAGATAAATAATTATCATTAAAAAAATTTAAAAAACCCACGTTTTCTGATTGAACTAAGGGAAAGTACCCAACCTTGTTTTTATCTAATTACAATTACTAGGTTATGGCCCTTTTTTGTACAAATCAATAGGAGTCTAAAATGATCAATAAAATTTTTCCATGGATCAATTTAGTAATAATAATAATTGAATATTGTATTGTCATCGGAAACAAAGCTTTCCTGAAAATTTTAAGCGCTCTAGCTAACTGGGAAGTGCCCGAAATTTTGATCGCAAGATTTGATGGAAAGACAAACAAACAAACAAAAAAACAGACGCGAAAGCAAGTTAAAGAAAACGTGGGAAAAAAATCAAACATTTACCTGAAGTTAGCTGATATTTGTCTAGAATGGAAACTTACTCTGGCTTTGGGTTATGCTTAGGTTTTCTCCTTTTAACCACAACACACACCACCACCACCACAACCGTACAGATGACAACAACAGAACCCACAGTGGCACCAGCGATTATCCCAAAATTTTCACCATCTGAAGAGTTCACCAAAGATAAACAATTTTAGTTCATGTCGCCAACAGAAGACGTACAGTTTGACTCTTTAATTTTATTTCTTTGCTTTATTGACAATGTATACACCATTAGGCTACTAGTAGTTTTTAACATTTTTTCTGGGATATTACGATGGTACCATATGCCTTCTACCTATCATCTGTAAAACGCCATAAAGCTTGTTAAATGTTCATTTTTTTGGAAAATATTCGTTAGTGTTTAGCATATGGTCATATATCGCATGCATTCAATACTTCATAATAACAAAAAAAATGTTTTAATTACCTAAAACAAAGTCTTAATTTAAAAAAAAAATGACTTACCTTTAATGGGATCTGTCTGAAAGGTTCCTTTTGCCTCTTGGCTTTCATCACCAATTGCATTGAAAGCCTTTATGGTATATCGATACATAGTGTTGGGCTCTAGATCTGATGTATTTACTTCAGGGGCGGTAACTCGAAAAGTTACATTCCGCTTGGATTCAATGGTTAGCACGTAGTTATCTACCCTGCCCTGTGAAGGTTGAAATCGCAGAACGTACGGTGGCCTGTCGAGTTTACTAGCGCCTAAATCCACCTTGCCTGGGCTTGCGGGGTCTACAATTATAAGAAAATGTGCAACTGATTTACTTGGATATTATTTGCACCAATTAAATTTTTACACAACGCACTTGAATAATTTGATTAAAGAAGTTTTTTTTTTTAATTTTTGGACACGCACACAAAATGTTACTTATAAATATTTATCAGTTACGTATTTCTAATACTTTTATAGTATATCTGAAATGTATTTCTATTACTTTTAAAGTCTATCTGACGAATACTCGTAATCGTTATACCATTCTAAAATTCAGTTTTAAATTAGGCCTACTAGTTGATTTTATAGAGGATGCACAGAAAACTAAATATTGTTGGTATACTCATGTATGAGTTTTAGCCAACAAAATGTTTTCTGATGCATCTTTTATGTAATGATGGATTTTAATCTTAAAAATATGACTGATTACATTTACATATAATAACCGATTATAATCTTATAGACATTGATTGGTTATAATCTTGCACATAAGGGCTGTCTACAACATTACATTTAATGACTGATTACACTTACATGTAATGACTTGCACTGTAGTGCTGAGGTTTCTCTCGGCGTAGAACCACTCCTGCCTCAGTATGGTGACGATGGTGCAGGTGTAGCTGGTCCCTGGCGTTAGGCCGCCCACCGTCACCCCACTCCCACTGGCGCTTTGCTCACCTGTATCCATGACGTCGTGTGCTGAGACCCAGACGACCACGTACCGGAAGTTGGTCTCGTTATCCCAGGATTCCCACAGTAAGTCCACCTGTCTGGAACTTGTGGCAGCAATTCTTGGATTTTTGACCTCATATTTGGCGGCTATGGTAAGGATTGGAATGTTCTTCTAATGTTCATGTTTTTATTTCCTTCTAATGTTCATGTTTTTATTTCCTTCTAATGTTCATGTTTTTATTTCCTTCTAATGTTCATGTTTTTATTTCCTTCTAATGTTCATGTTTTTATTTCCTTCTAATGTTCATGTTTTTATTTCCTTCTAATGTTCATGTTTTTATTTCCTTCTAATGTTCATGTTTTTATTTCCTTCTAATGTTCATGTTTTTATTTCCTTCTAATGTTCATGTTTTTATTTCCTTCTAATGTTCATGTTTTTATTTCCTTCTAATGTTCATGTTTTTATTTCCTTATGAACATAAACATACACACAGCTCATCTTTCTTGTCAAGAAGGTACTTTATTATACAACAGACATGATAAATAAGCAGCATAAACTGCCATTTAAATAAAACCCTAGCCATATTGATTGCACTAAGCCTTTACCGTAGACAATTAAGTAACATCTTGTAATTTTGTCTTATGGAATATGAACCAAAACTAATATAATTAAAAGACAACCTTTTCGATTATGTTGTAGCATTCATTAGATGTTTACATTAAATACAAGTGTCAGCGTCTAGGTTTTAAAATCGCACACAGAACCAGCAATGAAAAAAATACTCACACGAAACACATGCGCCGTCCTCTGGATGAAACTTATCCCCACACAGACACCTGTATGTTGAGTTGATATCACGTGAGCACTCCAAAAGTGGTGAGTCGCACATGCCAGGTATGTTTGTGTTGCATACAGCGGCGTGAGCTACAGCTTAAAATAAAAACATTGTGGTGTATAACTGATAAGATGTAGAGAGTATCCTAGCTCTTAGATCACAGCTGACGATAATGCCTTATCTGAGGGTTTACATTTCTATTAGATAGGCATTAACAAGAGAGGTGTATACTGTTAAGGTTGCTGTGAGAGGGCTTCATCTTTTCATATAATTAGTGTTGGCGCTCAACTTCTAATATTCCTTGGTCACTGACAACGTGAGTATGCTAGACCGAATGCTTATTTCTTTCAATTTGTTGTTATATTCAAGCTACTAGCATAGTCAGTTTAGTATCTGATTGGATTGGTCATGGATGGGACACAGATTACCTCTCACATCAACAGCACAATCAGAACTCTCTAGTATTCACTCTATAGCAAAAACATTCTATGTCTTCCAAGTCACTATCTGTTATGCGCGATCCAATTCTATTTGCTCATTATACCCCCTCATCAACATTCATCTGCACCAATTTGTACTCACAAAACATGCATCATAACAAACATACACCTAGATTTGAAGTGGCCGTCCAATAAACTTACAAGGTGTACACAGTTTGGTAGCAGGGTCGTAATAGTTTTTGGTTTCACAGGTGCAAGAGTTATTTAAACACTTGAGGTTTGCACGACAATGTTCCATTACTTCACAGCGTTCGTTGTAAGTCGATTCTGTAAAATATTTACAAGCAATAATATATGTGCATGTATTTAAGCAGCGTTAGATAAATTAAAACACACACACACAGACACACACAGACACACACACACAGACACACACACACAGACACATATATATATATATATATATATAGAGAGAGAGAGAGAGAGAGAGAGAGAGAGAGAGAGAGAGTGAGAGAGAGAGAGAGAGAGAGAGAGAGAGAGAGAGATTAGGTTTGTGAGTATGTCATTGAATCTGTGCACATCCAAGAGTCATGAACAGATTGTTGTACAATTTGCTCCCGATGGTGTAATTGTATTTCGTTTCATTACTCACGCCCAACAAACACGCCCTTTTAGAATCCAAAAAGAAACCGACAACAGAAAACGGACTATCACAACAGTGTGGAGCAGCAGAGTTTATATCGTGTCTGGTAACTGATCAAAGTTAGACAACTCCATTGGCTACAGGGTTGTGGTTCCTACCCCTCAAACAACTGGTTCACAGTAGGGACGTTTTTTTACTTTCTCGTATATACGTAGTATAGAGAAAGTATTGTAATCGTGCAAAAAAAAAAATCGAGATTTTTACAAATCTCGACATTTTACACCTCACGGATACGGAAAAACATAATTTTGCAATCTTGTCCGTATGTCTGTGTGTCTGTGTGTGTGTGTGTGTCTGTGTGTGTGTGTGTGTGTGTAAACACGATTACTTGAGTACCGTTACAGCTAGGTTGATGAAATTTCATATATAAGTATTTTATCAAAATCGTAGATCCGTATCAACTTTTGAGCAATTTCCGATAACCGGAAGTGGTACTTTTTCTACTTTGAATTTTTCAAAAGCCTATAACTTGGGTACTATTTCAGATAGATAAATGAAATGTCACATGTAAGTAAAAGATCCAATTCTCTACCTTCTGTTAAATTTTGAGTAATTTCTGTTGACGGGAAGTACTAATTTACGCTATTTCCGATTTCTCAAAAACGCATCTAAATTTATAAAGTACTAATAATATTGCGCACCATTATGAACATCTTTATTAGACGTTCGCTTGGTGTGCAATACTTTTTTCTATGAGATTTTATTTTATTTTAAAAAGTTTATGTATTTAAAATGGATTAAAAATCATAACTATATCCCGAGTTCCCATCCCCTGTTGTTTTATAGAAGAATATTCGAGAAAGTTTAGGGGAGATCACTCCCGGTTTATTTAATGTCTAATGGGTTACTCTATCCTAACAGTAGGGACATAGTTTTCTTAATGTCTAATCGGCTACTCCATCCTAACCTGAGACATCACTACAGCTATTTGTACGTGTGGCGTGTGCGAGTTGTGTCAACTTACTAACGATGCAGCTCTCCTCTGTACTGTTGTGGTACCTGTCAAGGGGACATGTACAATGACCATCTAGACACATTAGATAGCTCCTACACTGATCCACGTAGCTGCATCGTGTGTTGTATCCTAGATCTGACCAGATACAAAGTTACATGATTTTGTAAGACCACGTACCTGTAGAGTAGCTTTAGGATAACATATTTCAAGTTGTATAACTTTATCTTTTGTGAAAATGTGTATTGATATGTATTTATTTTTAAATAAAACGATAAACTGAAAACCATTTATTATTGTTAGACACTCTATCGAAAACATGACAACTTTACGGAAATACAAGTAGAAATGGATTTTGAGAGTTATACCCTGTCTCATACAATGTCAAGATTCATGTTTGGATATAAGGACAATGTCAGTCAACAAAAAGTCTTTCGAAAAAAATACCTGAAGTAATATTTGGGCATTATAAGGAAATTTGTTGACGAAAAAACAAACAACTAATATTATACATTAGAAAAATGTAGGTTTGAGGTGGGTAGATTTTAGTCGCTAGATTTTAGATTAGAGGTTAGTGTAGCACACTAACGTGTTAAATAATAAATGGAAATAGTATAATTTTTTACGGAAAATGTAACTGATAAATGTGAAGAAAACAGTGCTGGGGATGTAACTGATAAATGTGAAGAAGTACTGGGTATGCAGCTAGTACCTGCCCTCACCTTTGATGACATAACTGGCTTTAAACCCCCGGTAAGACACTGGAATCTGCAGACCGGTGGTGATGAGAACCAGGAACAACCTGTGGCTTGATGACGTCACGTGATACGATGGCACCCTCCCACAGGAAGGCAGGGTTTTGACGGGAGTCATGTGCTGGCCGTCAAATGCCGCAATGTACACCGCGTCACACGGGAGGATTTCAAAGTCGGTAAAACTGTGAGAGGGAAGACGACGTGAAGGTAGGGCGTAGTATGGGGAGCGTGGGGGGGGGGAGGCGTTTTAATGACGTCACGCAGCCAGTGGGGTAGTGTGAGGGTGAGGAAAACTACTGGAAGGGTAAACCGTGAAACGTCTGGTAGATTTTTAAAGGTGAATAAAGAATAATTAGTTGAATTTTGCACAACTAATGATAAAGTTGCACTAAACAAGATCGTTAATGACAAACCATGTTTATCTGAATAGCGCTAGTATGTTATCTGCTAATTGGCTGAAAGCAAAGTGCTAACAATGGTATTAATATATACTAGAATACCCGTCATCCGTTGGATAACTGTGGGTTTCGGGGGTCATCCATCAAAAAACATCACGTCTGTCACTCAGAGGCATAGCGACCCTTCCCGGCGCCCGGGGACAAAGTTTTCGATTTGAACCCCCCCCCCCCCCCTCAAACTTTTGATGTGCACCCCCCCCCCCCCACTCAAACTTTCGATTTGAACCCCCCTCAACCTATCAATTTATTTTTCCAAACCATTTTGGCGCCCCAACATATGCCCCCCCCCCTTCCCCCTCCCCACCCCCCGCCTCCCCTTCCCCCCCCCCCCCCACCCCCGCCTCCCCTCCCCACCCCCCCGCCTCCCCTCCCCTACCGTCCCCCCCCCCCCTCCTCGGTACGCTACTGCAGTGTCACTTATCGTCACAAAAAACAGACCCCACATTCAAATATATGTTTTTTATCTTTTAAAAACACCGAAAACACCGATTTCGGACTATCCCTTCATAAACTGACGTCATAGGTGACCTACTCAACTCTACTTCACCTGCCCAGTGTCCTGCCAAGTCTCAGACAACATGTTTTTATCGTTTAAAAAACAATTCCAGCCGAGCATGTATCTGACCACACTATCCTTTCATATGCTTAGGACAAAGAAACAGATGAACTCTACTTCACCTGCCCTGTATCTTGCCAAGTTCAGATAGGCAACGTTATCATTCACATCTAAAAAAAAAAATTGAAAAAAAAAATTTCATTGACATATTGGTCTAGAACCCGTGCCTCCTGCATGAGAGCTGACTACGCTACCATTTTAGCTATTTACTCGTGACGTCACAAGTGAATTTTTATACTATACTATGTATCTCCTTATGCAACTTGATTTACGGCGTATAGATTCTAGATCTAGATCTAAAAATAAGTCTAGTAGTACTAACTTTCAAATTAAATTTTATCTTAAATAAGCCAAACAAAGATTTATATAAAATAATTAAGGCCTGAAATAGATTCTAGATGTAGAATTTACATTAAGTCTAGATCTAGAATTTACATAGAAACCTAGTGACCTACATCTAGGCTAGATCTAGATCTAGATCTAGGCTAGATTCATAAATTTCCTTCGATAGCTGATCTTTAGATCTAGAGAAATGTATTGTAAAACTAAATGAAAAAGACAGTTGAACATTGATATAAGTGTTGGAACGTAATAAATACAGAAAACGGACGTATTGTTAAAGTTATGACCGACAGAAAATTAGATTTAGAACGCGTTAAACTTGTGAATGGGAACACAATTTTCTTCGATAGACGCTCAATTTTATTGTACTAAAGAGTAAACAAAAACCTGTGACGTCACGGTCCCGCCGAGTCTAGTGGCTTTTCAAATATTTTTTTAAAAAATGGGTTACTGTACGTATGAATAAATCAATAAATTAATTAACGTCTTTAAATAAATTTGTGATTAACAGTCTGTCTGCATTAAAAAATTATTCTCTACCTACATACTATTTTACAGCTCTCCAGATAGAGTCGAACATATCACAATTTTCAATCAGGCAAACAAACAAATAAATATTCAAACATGTAAACAAACTTGACTTTTAGTAGTATATAGATAGATTTCTTTGAAGATAATAATATAATAAGTATTTAATATATTTAATAATGACAATAATTAATTGAAGTAACGAGGCAGCCTTTAAAGCTACCATTTTGCCTGCTTCACCAAGTATTAAAATCTATTCTCACTTTAAAGCTATCATGTTGCCTAGATCACCAAGTATTAAAATCTATTCTCACTTTAAAGCTATCATGTTGCCTAAATCACCAAGTATTAAAATCTATTCTCACTTCAAAGCTACTCTGTTGCCTACATCACCAAGTATTAAAATATATTCTCATTTTAAAGCTATCATGTTGCCTACATCACCAAGTATTAAAATCTATTCTCACTTCAAAGCTACTCTGTTGCCTACATCACCAAGTATTAAAATATATTCTCATTTTAAAGCTATCATGTTGCCTACATCACCAAGTATTAAAATCTATTCTCACTTCAAAGCTACTCTGTTGCCTACATCACCAAGAATCAGCCAACTACAAGATGAGAGTTGATTATATCCACTTGGGTACCCTGAGCTTTGTAGCGTGCCAGAATGGCCTGATGTAGAAATCTGGCAAGCTGCAAAAAGAAAATAGATTGGACATTTTACAACTCCGTGTCCAAAATATAACAAACATTAAGTATACGTAATCAAAAAAACATCGAGAAATGTAATTATACTTAAGCTGATATATATCTAAAATATTATTCTACTTATAAAAAGTTTATATACAGACAATCTTGACAACTTTCTTGAATTTATAAAACTAAAGCTTATTTTATTTTTAAAAGTATTTTATAATTTTTCTGCTCGCTTAAAAGTTTACCAAAGGTTGCAAGGCCAAATTAAATACAATTTCATATGATATTTTTAACTTAATCGAGTTTTTTCAGATACTAAGAAAACTAAAGATCAACATTACATTGGATAAAATAGTTTCCAAAAAATCCCTTGAATGTCAAGTAACCTCCACTTGTAAAACGTATGTGCATGCTATTCAAACTAGACGCTATGATAATCGGAGCTGATGCAGAACAAAAGCGCCCTAGAAGTGTCCCATTTCGGCTCGACCCGTCAAATGCCTCTAAGTAATGGTTAGAGCAGGAAGGTGAGTTGTCTAGGTTTAGGAAAGTTATGCTGTAGGGAAATATGTTATAATATTTTAATCATTATCATAATTCATACTTAAATAACTTTCCTTACAAAGCTATACATTCATACTTAAAACATTTTTTTCTTACAAAGCTATACATACAAACTTAAATAGCTATCCTTACAAAGCTATAAATAGAATATGTCACTTACTTGAAAATGACGAATGCGCCACCGGTACCCTCTACAGTCCAGTCGTAAACTTTGTTGTTTAGAAAAAACCTGGGAAAACCAGGACTGACCAGATAGCCACTGGGTTTCCTGAGTGTACTGGACGAGGCTAGAATTTGAAACAGAGATTATTACAGTACCTATAAAATAAAAAAAATATATTTTACAAGCATTAAACAATGCTCAAAATAGTGTATGGTGTCTTATCGCCAGCTTGGACGTTTCAAAAGAAATTGAGGTGAGGGGGGAGGGGGTGGTCGGTCTTTAAGCTGATCAGGTAATAAAAGCAGGCTAACTCGAATGTTGACACAAATGGTTGAGGTTTTATATTATCTCTCAATTGATGAATATTGGTTATACAGAGTAGGTCTCTGTTGTACAGTTACAGCCTTTAGTCTTCTACATTTTGACAAGCTGTCAACGTATAAAATTGTTACGGAAGTGATTTCCGGGATTCTCATCGAATTTTTTAAATTGCTGATTTATGTTGATATAAAAATGCATTTAGTAAAACAGGCAACAAAACAAACAATTTGCGCTCTTTGACAATTTGCCAATCAGAAATTCTAAAAAAATAAGAAAAAAAAACCCAATTCACACGTTTATTATTGTGTTTGTTATAAGTTTGCTATATGTTCTGCGTGCTGATTTCTCTGGTTACGTAATATGAAATTTTCATAACGACTTGCTCACATTGTGTATAATAGTTTCCAGTAAATCCCTTGTAAACGACAGAGTTGTCGGTCCTGAAGTAGACAGACATGCTGGTGCCAGTTGATGCTGTGACAATGGAGCCACCACTCCCACAGAGGCGAGCCAGCTGCGTGCTACCATCAGAGTCCACGATTTGTAGATAATCAAATGAACACGTCGGGGAGGGTCCCTGAATGTCGAGGACATCAATACTGGCACGGACAAAGATGAAGAATATGCGTGAATGAATTTACGTTATGAAGATCTGTTTTTACACTAATCAAAACACATTTAAATTACAATGCTATGTATTTTTATTTGTACATTAAAAATATTGCAAATGTAGATTTTTAAACCCTCAGACTGAATGTAAAAAAAAGAAAATTAAATAATTCAGTTTTTTAGACCATTAAAATAAAAATAGCTTAAATATTAATTATGACATGCGCCTATTGTTACAATGAGCCACGGTCAACGAAAATCGACGACAGCTTTACTCACTTGAGTACGATAAACGAACCAGCAATTCCTGTTATAAACCACGAATACACAGCACTGTTTTTATAGCTGAATGGGAATCCAGGACTTATTAAAACCCCAGAAGAACCTTCTAATGTAGAACCTAAACAGAAAACGTTCGGGTTATGTTCATGTTGAAAACACACTTGCTTAGTTCTTCTTCTTCTTCTTAATTTTAGTGTTGGGAGGGATCGAGTTTTATCTGCCAGAGGGTTTGAACTCGAGACTTTTTTCGACCACGCTTCCATCACTATTAAGGATACGTGTCAACTGGTTATGCGCCATTGAGGCCATTGACTCCGGTTTCAGCCTGCTTTTCTTTTTGGATTTGCTTGCATAGCCTTTGTCCAACCAAGAACAAACTACAAGGCAGCAGTTGTTTGATTTTGGAATTGTCTCTCCTAGAAGAGTGGCTGTCCCCAGCTAACGAGCCTCATCTGCCCGAGGGTTCGAACTCGAAACTTTTCGGTTTAGCAACCATGAGCTTTACCGACTCGACCACGCCGACCCCTAGTGTTTAAGGATATTATTAGGGTCTGTACCTTGGGAAGAGAAATGCGCACTGAATCCTTTAAATGTAGCTGAGCTGTCTGATCTGAAAACAATTTTCATGTACTCGTTGGTAGAAGTGATGAGGACGGGGGAGACATTGCCGCAGACTCGTCCGAGTGCTTGGTTAGCTGCGTCGTAGAACTCCAGGTAATCGTTGGAACATGGGGCAGAAATGCTGCCTAAATCTAGCATCGTAATGCTATAAAAATTATGAAGAAATACATTTTTTGTTTTGATTTAAGATAGTTATACCACATACAAGTTATTCTAACGTATAACAATAACCCTTAGTGAATAAAAATGTGTATATAACAAAGACCTATCTTTCTTTTGAGTATGTTGTAGGTATTGATCATTATATTAGAGATGAAACAAGTTAGTTCATATTTAATAACATTAAAGCTATAGTTTAGCGTTGTTTATCTTACAGAAGAAGGCTAAAACAGATTGCCTTACTTTAAAACGAGGTAACTCCCGTATGTTCCAGAAATTGTCCACCTGTAGTCCTTATTGTTCAGGTAACGGATAGGGAACCCCGGGCTGACAATGTCCCCGGCAGGTGTTTGGAGTAAAATGTTTTGTCCTTTGGAAAGAATGAACACCATTGACTTGCTTTTAAGATAAATGAAACAAGTCGATTGTTGGCTTTATAAGGTAACTTTATAATACCCTTATTTGTTTTACTCGCTGGATGATTTCATGAAAGTTAAGGAAACAACGTGAGTTAGCACCTTGGATAACTTTTTATTTTTTTTCTGTGGCATTCGCTATCTGGGTACGGGTGACCAGAAAGATGCGCATTTTTCTGTTTGCGCTTTTTTTCCGTTACGCATTTTGTTTTGCGCTTTTTTTCCGTTGCGCTTTTTTCCGTTGCGCTTTTTTCCGTTGCGCTTCTTTCTGTGAACCCTGGGTACTATACTTGTGAAAGAACTTAAACTCTGAACAATGAAACAGTATCGTCCATATCTATACTGTTGTTTGAGTTCATCGACCTGAATACCTCGACTAAGGCAGTGATTGTGTGTTTAACACCATCCACGATCAACTAACCCAACTCAGGTCAGGTACCCGTAAAAACTGAATCATCATCCCATGGACTCGAGCCTGTGACCACGGATGTAAACTATCCTGTTTGTAATCGCACGCTCATCCACAAACTAGCGCAGCAAATTTTGCTATAATCTCATCAACTTCACCCGTTCGTTCTTAAGACATCTAGCAGGTGAAGTAGAGTTCATCTATTTCAATGACCTCCGCATGAGGGAAGGGGTGGATTAATGCATTCAGGGACATTCTACTGACTAGAGCCCGGAATTTGCACTCGACACTTTTAAGTTTGTAGTTGTAAACTCTACCTCCTGCCTACGTCTTCCCATACTTCTAATTAAAAGAAATGTAAATAAATCTTCCCATGAAAAAAAAAACCGTTTTTTTTCTTTTTTTTTAAAGTTCAATATTTAAATTAAAAATAATATACACATAAAATGAGTTAGAAAGATAGTAAAAACAATTATCAAAGACTATTTCTGTATACCTTGTGTGTAAAAGGTGACATTAAATCCTCTTCGAGTCACTGACGCATCCGTCCTAAACACCAGGTACATGTAGTTCGACGTAGACGCAAGGAGTCCTGGCGTCACACTCCCGCAGAGCTTTGGGTACCGCGGGTCTCCACTTCCCGCCCCGTCATGTAATTCAATGTAATCGCTGACGCATGACTCCAAACTACCTCCCAAATCTAGTGTTGTAAAACTGTTGACATATACATTCGTGAAAAAATTGTAATCGGGCACAAAAATGTAATGAAATTTTGACAGTTTTACAACTCCCCAATGTGACTTTTGAACGATTTCTGGTTATCGGAAATTGTACTTTAACAAGGTAACTTGAAAACTGTTTTAGTTACGTAGACGAAATATTATATATTTCTAAAATATCTTATACTTTAATCACTCTCAATTTGTGAGTGACTTTTTATATCCGGAAATGGTACTTTTATTTTTGGTCTCTTAAAATAATAAAATACCAAATAACTTGAGTACTGTTTCAGTTAGCTGGACGAAATTTTATTCAAAGTTATAAGTTCTTATTTGTTGTTTTCTGACAGATTTTGAGTGATTTCCGGTGACTGGAAATAGTCTTTTACACTATTTCCGATTTTCAAAACAGAAAGGTAATCAATGTTTCCTTTTAAAAATACTAATTTTCTTTCCTGCTATACTCACACTGTCTGCGTTCATAAGGTGAGCAATTCTTTTTTTTTTTGGGATTCTATGCTCTTTTTAAACATTTCGTTGTTTTTTTTTAAATTAATAAAAAACATTTCTATTGCCTTGGAAGTGCTACCCCCCCCCTCTTTTTTACTGTTAAATAAGAATATACAAAAAAGTTTAAGGGAAACTACTCTTGATTTATTACCATAAACAAACAACGTAGGCATACATGAAATGTAATATAATAAAATGTCTTACTTTAGTGTGATGAATGTTCCAGGACTTCCTACAATAGTCCACGTGAAGTACATGTTGTTCTGGTAGCCTATAGGAAAACCAGGACTCACTATATTCCCATTATCCGCTTGTATAATACTTGATCTACCTATTGTATGAAGACAGTAAAATATATTATTATACGATGGGACGGCGTCTCTGAAGGGAATCACTAGGATTCTTTAATTATATTATTAAACGAGTTTCCGGATTTGTAAAAAATATGAATAAAACTCTGCCCCATAGTTTGGTTCTGAGATGTGAGTTGACAGACAGAATTCTAAACACATTCCCATCAGTTTATATCTGTAGGTAAAGTCTGTGGTCAACTTAATACAATCTTCCTAACATTGACATTCGGCTGTTCTTGTTAAGGAACTTAAAGTAAAATACGTTAGGCTCGGTTCATCGAAACTGGCGGCTATCGCTTTTTCTGGAGGCAATATTGTATTAAACTCAATCGGTACATTGCTTCACACCCTGCCCCTGTCCGCAATACAGGGACACCCGAACACAACATTACCCATACCTCGTCAGCACCCACAAAGTCAAACTTTGTCCTCATTAACGAAAACTTTGTCCCCACAACCAAACCTTTGCCCCCACAACCGAACCTTTGTCGTATTACGTCGAACATTTGCTACTCACCCCCCCCCCCCCCCCCGCTACATTTACACACATCCCCTCTATTACATTTAAAATAGTACATGGAAAGCCTTTTAAAGTTCCACGCTAAAATCGTACCTCTTGTAAAATAGTTTCCAGAAAAACCTTTATAAGTTCCAGAACTATCTGTTGTGAAAACAATGTACATGTAATTTGATGACGACGTTAGATCTCGCGGGAACATATTCCCACAAAATCTGCCAAACGATCTTGAAGTCACGCCTTGACCGTCAAAAACTTCTACGTAATCGAACAGGCAACTAGGTGTTGATCCTTGTATATCAAACATTAACATACTGAAAATGTAATTAAATTTATCGAATAATTATTTTAAAGCGATCCTTATTGTTAATTACATAGCTATTTATATATTATTATATATGAATAAATGAGAATAAATAAAAACACCATAACAGAAAGAAACAATAGTTATATGCAGAGATACCTACTTTAAAATAATGACAGTTTGGGGACTTCCGGTAATCCTCCAGGTATATTGAACTGAGGTGACATAGCCTAATGGAAAACCTGGGCTGACAATATTCCCTGATGCCTCATATAACTCAGCGGATTTACCTTAATACAAATAAAGGTCTTTTATGTACAGTTTTTTTATATACGGTTAGTAACTCTTATATTTTCAAAAAAAAAAATTCGAATTTCTTTCCTTGAAGAATCCGAATCTAATATACTTCGTAAAGTTGACATTGACGTTAACAGTATTTTAAGCTTAACCCTCAGCCCACATCTTACTGGCAACAGAACAATATTACCCCTGTCTAGGTTTAAATAGGAGTCAATAGAGATTATATTGACAACCATTCGTATTTAGATTGATATAAGTTAGAAGAAGTCAATCGTAATGGATACGTCTGGATTGCTAAAGAAAAAATTGTACCTTAATAAGTAGTTCAAGTGAAATCCAGAAAAAAAAACTTACTAATGGTAAAAAACTCCCCGTAAAATCCCTTGTAAGTGTACGAATAATCCGATGTGAATGTGACCAGCATGTAGTTTGTTGTCGACACAAGGACACCAGGGGCCTTGGTCCCACAGAAACGGCCAAACGGTCGTGACGTCATAAGAATGCCGTCGTAGACCGACAGATAGTCGTTGCTGCAAGAAGATCCACTACCTTGGCTCTCTAGCACCGATATGCTGTAATATAAAGTTCTAGTGACATAAACCAAACCACATGGCAATTCACGTTTTACTGTATATAAGGCTCTCTAGCACTGAGATACTGTCATTTTGGATGTGTGAATATTATACACTACACTATATACCTTGTATTTTACTTTTATATATAAACATATTGGCTTTGTTCTAGAACCGCATTTTATATTAAATGTCTTGGGATTTTATTTTTATTCCGGCTCTTTTACTTCGTAGACTTAAATTCTTCTGTTTATGATGTAAATGTCTCTGGTTTTCTACATGAACGTTTATCCATGATTAGTTTGGGTAGTCTGTTACCTTGGGCTATTTCAAGCTTTTATTAAGTTCGCAACGTCTGTTTGTTTGTATATGGGTTTGTGGCAAATCTTGTCACTCAATTCGATCCACTTATTCGTTCTAACTATTCAGATACGTTCCACTACCATGACAATGCAAGTCTATCTATTTTAAAAAAAATTAAATTAGATGTTTTATTAGTCGTTAACATTAATGAAATGGCTTCGAAACTAAGGGGAGATAACAAAATAAAATCACTCGATAGATTACTATATTCAATAACAAAAGGGGAGATAGCTAGCTAGACGCGATCACCCTAACAGTCTGGTAAGCTGTAGTTCACGATAATGTTTACAGAGCCGGTCGATCTAGTGAAATTTATTAGGGGAAGATAATATAGTTTTCAAACGATTTGAAACTAAGGGGGGGGGGGCAGTGTTTCTTCCAGACTTTATTCTCCGGGGTGCACTTGAAATTTTCGGAGGGAGGGGTGGACAACAATTTTCGGGGGGGGGGGGGGGCGGACACTGTAAAAAGTATATATTTTCTATATAAATTCTATTTCGTTCGAGGGGGGGGGGGGGCAGTAGACTTTCTTCGAGGAGTGGGGGTGCCCCTTCTCCCCCACCCCCCCTCCCTAAGAGATGCCTGGAAGAAACTCTGGTGGGGGGTAACAAGATTAAGACCTTGATATCGTTTATAAATATGGGCACGGACGGCTGCTTTTACAGGCAGATAATCGTCTTTAAATATCGCGAGCTATTGATGGTGTTTTCAAGCAAATATCTTTAGTCGTGTCGACTTCATAAATTAAGAATCACTAAAGAGTAGACAATTAACACATTTTAATATATATGAAAAAAACTTAATAGCAACAAGCTTTAAAATAAGAAAATAAAACTATTTTTTTTCTTGTGGCAGTAAGTGGTTGTGTGTGTTGCAGTCAGTGGTTGTGTGTGGCAGTCAGTGGTTGTGTGTGTTGCAGTCAGTGGTTTTGTGTGTTGCAGTCAATGGTTGTGTATGTGTGGCAGTCATTGATTATGTGTGGCAGTCATTGATTATGTGTGGCAGTCAGTGGTTGTGTGTGTGGTAGTTAGTGGTTGTGTATTGCAGTCTGCATATGTATTTGTAGAGAGTAGCTAAAGACATTGGAGATGATATAGAAGTGTTGCTATAGTTACTTGGAAGTAGTCTATTTTAAAACTATTTTTTTACTCTTATAACACTATCGATGCCATTTAACCAAAACCACACAATATCCATTACATAGCAGGATAAACAATATCCTAATCATTCCAAAATGTAAGCATCATTTTCATATGGTCTAGGACTGACTGAAGGATATCCACTAAACCAATAAAATTATTCAGGGTTGGATGATAATGTTATTCTGATGAAACTACTTTTCACAATGCTGTGTGGATTAAGTTCTTAGTGAATTAATTCACCACCCCATTGTAAAGGTGTTATTGCTGATGCTTATGCTCTAGAACATGTATAGATGGACTTGTTCTACTTACTTTAAAATAATGTAGGTATCGTAATTCCCTGACAAAGTCCATTGGTAATTTTTTTGAGTTACGTAACTTAAAGGATATCCTGGGCTAACAACAATACCAGAGTCCTTCAGAGTAACGATTTCAGCTGAAAGAAATTGAAATATATATATATATATATATATATATATATATATATATATATATATATATATATATATATATAATATCATCGGGGCAGACGAAGAAGAGTTCATTGGTTTCATTAGAGGGGGATAGTGTGGCAATTACACAAGATATACATGTATGTGTAATGATATATAGTACAGCGATAGATTAATTTTAAAAATACGCATTTTTTGTGCATTCGACTTGCATTTAAATATTACATACGGCCTTTATTTTTATTGAGTGTTAGGTTACGAATTTCAAATAAAAATCTAAAAAATTGTATACTTACGTTATTACCCTTACAAACATTTTATATATCTTAAAAACTAATATTGTTTATAAATGATCTGTCCTTTCGACCTAAACCAAAAAAGGTAACAAAGACTTACTTCGAGTAAAAAACTCCCCGTAAAATCCCTTGTACGTGTTTGAAGAATCCGATGTGAATGTGACCAGCATGTAGTTTGTTGTCGACACAAGGACACCAGGGGCCTTGGTCCCACAGAAACGGCCAAACGGTCGTGACGTCATAAGAATGCCATCGTAGACTGACAGATAGTCGCTGCTGCAAGAAGATCCACTACCTTGGCTCTCTAGCACCGATATGCTGTAATATAAAGTTCTAGTGACATAAACCAATTCACATAGTATTTATGATTTTACTGTACAAAATGCTCCGTTTTCTAATAGACCATTGGATGATAGCGCATTGGAAATCCACGCACAAAGTCTGGATGAGAAGAGCCATATATATATATATATATATATATATATATATATATATATATATATATATATATATATATATATATATATATATATATAAGATCCACCAGCTACTATATTCTGATATTAAGCAGACTTTAAGTATAGTTATTCATTCAAGCAAAGCCTCTTCTGAATTACACGATAAAAATTGTACACTTATTTAACTTAAGTTTGCTTACTTTAAGACTACGTAAGTTCCAGAAGCTCCCATTAACAACCAGGAGTAGGACTTTGATATTGGGTAACCTAAAGGATAGCCTGGGCTTACGACTTGTCCAGAGTTCATCAGTGTAACGGACTCGTCTTGTGAAAAACAGCAAAAAAAATCAATCAATGATCTGTTCGACATTGTACATTTTTTACAGTGCTTGTTAGCGCGAAAACCCTCGAAAACACAAAATTTAATTAAGGGATGGTTGAGTCAGTGAATCTCATGGTTGCTAAACCGAAAAGTCGTGTTTGAACCCTTGGACAGGTAACGCTCGATAGCTGGGGACAGCAACCTCTACTAGAGACATCTCCAAAATCAAACAACTACTGCCTTGTATTTTTTTCTTGGTTGGACAAAGGCTATGGAAGCAAATCCAAAAAGATTAGCAGGCTGAAATCGGAGTCAACGGTCTGTATGGCGCATAAGAAGTTGACACGTAGTACTTAACTGTGTTGGAGAAATGCCTTCCAATACTAGAATTAAGAACGAAGGAGAAAGAAGAAAAAAATGGATACGTATTCTATCTCTATAATGCGCTAGGTAGTGTATCATTTTTCGTTCGTACTTCAGTATAGGCACTTTGTCTTGCTCGGCCTAGTGTTAATTATCTTTTTTATTTGAAGTCAACTAAATTTTAAGTACATTTTGTCTTCTTTGATTACCCTTTGAAAAACAGCATCTAACGGCCGTATGAACAAAACTTTCATTTAATCGTGGTAGTTCTATGGTCTCCGTTAGAACTTGTCTTAATTTAGAATGTGGGGGCAACGAGATTAATATTAAGGGTGTTTTAATTTCTTTCCACAAATGTATATTACAATGGTATTATGTATATTACCCTTTATCTCGTACGTTCCGAAAAAGCCTTTACTGGTAACCGAAGCGTCAGTTCTGAACACAACATGCATATAGTTGGAACTCGAGACAAGTATTTTCGGTATGGAACTGCCACAGAAGGTCCCAAAAGACCTGCTAGAGGTAGATGAGCCGTCAAAAACTTGAAGGTAGTCCAGTGTACAGGCGCCATCTTGTAGTTGGAAGTCCGTTATACTTTAGAAGATAAATTAATAAATTAATAAATACAGCTTCAACAAGCTAGTGTTATAATCTAAAACGTAAACTCAGAATTATTTTTTCACGTAAAGTTATAAGTTATCATTCGAATTTTATTTAGTGTAAGTTTACTTTTTATTATCCTTCTAAATTTTAATCAGAAAACATTTAAAAGTGATTCGTTTTCTTTTGCTACTTTCTTAAAACAAGTTAAATTTTATACAACTAACTAGTTTAAAAAATTTAATCACAACAACCAACTAGCCTTTTATTAATTATCTTCTTTTATAAGAACGCGCATTTTTTACTATATCATCTCATTTTTTAATTTGTTAATATATTTTCAATTTAAAAATATAAAACCGGTTAGAAAATAAAATAAACAATTTTGCAACTAAGCGTTTAATCTAATGTAATGTACATATCAAATGCATTACCTGAGAACAATGTAAGTACTGAAGCGACCACCTATAGTCCAGCTAAAACTGGCACCATTTATGTAACCGATGGGATACCCCGGGCTGGTAATGTATCCGGTCGATTCCTCAAGGTATGTGTGACTACCTTCAATGTTAATGCAATCAGGCAATATAAATATGCAGATTGTATTCTAATATATATATATATATATATATATATATATATATATATATATATATATATATATATACATGCGTGGTTGGGGCAAATAACATGCTTTAATTTCCGGGATATACACCTTTTGCGCCATTGCCGGGGAAGTGTTAACATGGGAAAAAGGGGGGGGGGGGGAGGGGGTGTTCCCCATGACAGAGTGTGGGAGCGATTGCCAGCAGGAAGATGGTCAGCATGCGAGAGTTGCTTCAGTGGAGGTCCGCACTACTCCCACGCACTACTCCCACACACAGCTCCCACGCCCTATCAGAACATCACCAAGCCTCATCAACTGCATCCTCTACTCCAGCCTTCACCTACCCCACCCCTTCTTTGAACTACCAAAGGTTGGTTGTGTAAATAATGACTTATCTATCAAAAAAATTAAAGAGAGAAATTATGCACATATTGAAAGTACACATAATTCATTTATTTTTTTTATCTATATCACTTTTAATTCAAATGCTTAGACTTTTGACAACGGCGGCCATATTGAAAAATTAACCACTTCGTAGGATTTCCACCATTCATTTAAGTTCAATAAACAATGAATTCATAATCTTCTACCATATTTTGGGGTACGCAGCTAAAAATTTTAAGTGCAGATCTTAAAACTAGTTACTTATGAATTTTCAAATAGTGGGTCCGTCCAAAACACTAGATTTAATGCCCCAAATTTCAACAAAATTTGGTGTTTCTACAGGATCCATAGTTTGAAAATTTACAAGAAATTAGTTTTAAGATCTGTATGTTCTCTAGATCAGTATTTAAAAAGTTTTTTTTATTATCGTAGCATACATAGAACTGACGTGGTAAAATGTTGGTTGAGTTTCTTTCTGTTATCCATGCACCCAATCTTTTCTGCTACAACGACTTGAATTTCAGCGTATTTTTTGTCAATAGAAATGATACGGTGTTTATTTGATGGCTTGATTCAACCAATAGTTAACTTGAAATACATCCCACCTCTAAATAGTACATTCTATACCTATAATTGTATACTCCGCCACGAATCCTTTGAACTGATCGTACGTGTTTGACCGATGTATCAGGTGCATGTAGTTAGTAGACGACAGAAACGGTCCACGATGTGGGCTACAGATTCGTCCAAAGCTTCTGCTGCTTGACCAGCCGTCAAAGACTTCGATGTAATTGGATGTGCAATTGTCACTGGTCTCCATGCCGATGTAGGTTATGCTGAAATAGTGTTCGAAAATAATGTGATATTAAACACATAATACGATACACGTAACAATGAAACAGCTTATTTAGGTGCAGAGACAGACTTATTTATATATATATATATATATATATATATATATATATATATATATATATATATATATATATATATACTACTAAAAGTCAAGTTTGTTTACATGTTTGAATATTTATTTGTTTGTTTGTTTGCCTGATTGACTATTGCTCATGGTTGCACTCATCGTGGAAAGCTGTAAAATAGTATGTAGGTAGAGAAAAAATTTTGTTTTAAGACAGACTGTTAATCACAAATTTATTTAAAGACGTTAATTAATTTATTGATTTATTCATACGTAGAGTAACCCATTTTTTTTTAAAATGTTAAAACATTGACTAAACTTTGTGGGAATAGTGACGTCACAGGTTTTTGTTTACTCTTTAGTACAATAAAATGGCGGCGTCTATCGAAGAAAATTGTGTTCCCATTCAAAAGTTTAACGCGTTCTAAATCTAATTTTCTGTCGGTCATAACTTTAACAATACGTCCGTTTGCTGTATTTATTACGTTCCAACACTTATATCAATTTTAAACTGTCTTTTTTCATTTAGTTTTACAATAAATTTCTCTAGATCTAAAGATCAGCTGTCGAAGGAAAGTTATGAATCTAGCCTAGATCTAGATCTAGCCTAGATCTAGGTCACTAGACTCAATGTAAATTCTAGATCTAGACTTAATGTAAATTCTACATCTAGAATCTATTTCAGGCCTTAGGGGTCATCCATAAATGACGTCACACTCGTAGGGGGGAGGGGGGGGTCCGTAATTTTGTGACGATGTGTGATGAGGGGGAGGGGGGGGGGGGGGTCAGATGTTGCGACGTCACATTTTTGCATTATAAAAAAGCAATGCTAGAAAACGAATTTTAGACGTTATTTCGCGTTTTAGATAACTGTTTTAATAAATTGTAATAGTTTAGACAAGATTTTGGAAAAATATCGATGTTTTTAAAAAAATTCAACTGCAATTTTGAGGTGGGTTGTAGGTTGAGGTGTGACGTCATTTTAGTGGGGGGGGGTCTGGCTTTTTGTGACGACGTGTGACGGAGGGGAGGGGGGGAGGTAAAAATCGTCAAAAAAAGTGTGACGTCATTTATGAATGACCCCTTAATACATCTAGAATCTATTTCAGGCCTTAATTATTTTATATAAATCTTTGTTTGGCTAATTTAAGATAAAATTTAATTTGAAAGTTACTAGATTCTACTACTAGACTTAGATCTAGATCTATGCGCGGAGACTCAAAAGTATAGTATAAAAATTCATTTGTGACGTCACGAGTAAATAGCTAAGTTGGTAGCGTAGTCCGCTCTCATGCGGGTGGCACAGGTTCTAGACCAATATGTCAATGATATTTTTTTTTCAATTTTTTTTTTTTAGATGTGAATGATAAAGTTGCCTATCTGAACTTGGCAGGATACAGGGCAGGTGAAGTAGAGTTCATCTGTTTCTTTGTCCTAAGCATATGAAAGGATAGTGTGGTCAGAGACATGCGCGGCTGGAATCGTTTTTTAAACGATAAAAACATGTCGTCTGAGACTTGGCGGGACACTGGGCAGGTGAAGTAGAGTTGAGTAGGTCACCTGTGACGTCAGTATATGAAGGGATAGTCCGAAATCGGTGTTTTCGGTGTTTTTAAAAGATAAAGAACATATTTTGGAATGTGGGAGGTGGAGGGGGGAAGGGGGCGGGGGGGGGGGGACATATGTTGGGGCGCCAAAATGGTTTGGAAAAATAAATTGAAAGGTTGAGGGGGGCTCAAATCGAAAGTTTGAGTGGGGGGGGGGTGCACATCAAAAGTTTGAGGGGGGGGGGGGTTGCAAATCGAAATCTTGCGGGGGTGGGTTCAAATCGAAAAGTTTGTCCCCGGACGCCGGGAAGGGTCGCTATGCCTCTGAGTGACAGACGTGATGTTTTTTGATGGATGACCCCCGAAACCCACAGTTATCCAACGGATGACGGGTATTCTAGTATATACTAAAAGTCAAGTTTGTTTACATGTTTGAATATTTATTTGTTTTTTTGTTTGTTTTTTTGTTTGTCTGATTGACTATTGCGCATGGTTGCACTCATCGTGGAGAGCTGTAAAATAGTATGTAGGTAGAGAAAATTTTTTGTTTTAAGACAGACTGTTAATCACACATTTATTTAAAGACGTTAATTAATTTATTGATTTATTCATACGTAGAGTAACCCTATTTTTTTTAAAAGTTTAGAACGACCACTACACTCGGCGGGACCGTGACGTCACAGTTTTTTGTTTACTCTTTAGTACAATAAAATGGCGGCGTCTATCGAAGAAAATTGTGTTCCCATTCAAAAGTTTAACGCGTTCTAAAACTAATTTTCTGTCGGTCATAACTTTAACAATACGTCCGTTTGCTGTATTTATTACGCTCCAACACCAACACTTATATCAATTTTCAACTGTCTTTTTCATTTAGTTTTACGATAAATTTCTCTAGATCTACAACCTGTCCTAGAAAGTTATTTATAGATCGAGATCTAGAATCTAGAATCTAGATCTAGGTCAAATCAAAGATTTATTAGTTATAAATACAATTTAAAAAAACGAGACTTAAGCAAACCAAATCGTAGATCTAGAATATAGATAATTCTATCTAGATTTAGATAATAATGAGTTTCTATATACTAAACTATTTTAGACCTTTATTATTTTGTATAAATCTTTTTTTGGAATATGGTAATTTTGAAATGCTGTATCCAGGGCCTAGATTCTATTTGCGTAGCTTAAGATTCATACGCGGCTTCAATACCGGTAATTTTGCTAAATTATAAACGTAAATTCTAAATATAGCTCAGTATTAGATCTAAAATATAGATAATTTTCTACCTAGATTTAGATAATAATGATTTTCTATATACTAAACTATTTTAGACCTTTATTATTTTATATAAATCTTTGTTTGGAATATGGTAATTTTGAAATGCTCGCTCCGGGCCTATTACTATTAGCGTAGCTAATGATTAGATCTATATTCTAGATCTAGCAAGAAAAACTAAACTTAAGACTTAAGCAAACGAGTCGTAGAATCTAGATCTAGATAATTCTATCTAGATCTA